CCGCTGCCCTTTTCAGGGCCGGCACAGCAGGCCAGTGGTGCGGCCCCAGAGCCCCAGAGCCAGAGTCCTTCTAAGGGCCGGTTTGGTCGGCGGGGTGCCGAGATCTGTGCCTAACCAGGGCCAGATCTGATAGCCTCCCTTAGAGCCCTACCAGGAGGAACTGGGAGCCTAGAGCTTAGGCTAGAGAGCCTGGGGTGTGTTCCTGAGTTATACGTGTAAAGGGGCCGCTACCCCTTCTAGTGTAACCCTTGTTAAGGTTTAAATAAATAGTGCTGCCTCTACTCTGCCGTGTCCTGGAACCCACTACACAGGCACAAATCACGATGGTAGAACTGGAACTCCTGTGTTAAATTGGCAGAGAAAAATTGGTAAGAATCCATTTTTCCAATTCTTCGCGCACACACATTCTTAAAAAGGCCGTTGGCCAAACTTCCCCAAAAAACCCTGAACTATTCTGAAAAAAAACATGCGACTCATTTTGAGGGTTGCATGAATATAAAAAAAACCATTACTTCGTGTACAATTCTGGCCTAAATGTGTCCTCTGATATAATCATCCAAGATTGTCTTTGTCCACCCAGAAGCGGAAATAGCTTTTGCAGAAATGTTAACATCTGAACAGTGTGGAAGAGTGGAGACTGAACGCACAAGGAAAACGGGAGCCCCTCCACTTAAATTTTTATAAATAATTTGCTTGCAACCGTTCATCCATTCATACATATTGGTTATTGTCCATAAACGACGCATTTATAAAAATGAAAATTCACCAGGTTTGCGAGAAACAATTTGTACCTAGGGGTTCAATCATCCAAGATTACCTTTATCCGGCACGGGGCAGGGGTATATTAGTTTTGTACCTAAGGGGCCTCTATACTTTTGTTAGGATGCCTCATCAGAATTGCGGTACGTACTGGAAATGAATCCCAGCAACATATTCCCAGTTTTTATTAACTTCAGCTGGGTATAATTTGGGGCTTGATCCTGAAATTTCTGGGCCGATTTCGCTTCATGAACTGGCCTCAATTGCTTAGATCAGAATTGGGCCCGAACGGAAATTAACGACCAAATATGTCAATCAAAAATATCGAAGGTGGCCGGATCATTTAATTTTTAATGTAAGATCTAACAGTTGTGTTCGTAATATTGTCATGACCTTGTACTTTTTTGGGGAATTTTACTCGAAAGTATTTCTTGCAAAGACCTGCCAACTCGTGTATCATATAAAAAAACATGTCAATCACACTTGTTTGTATTATCAATACGAGTTGTCTGTCAACTTGATTGATTGGGAGAAATCATGCCAACTTGAATGCGATCGAGTTATTTCAAGTTGGCTGTCTATAGACACGAGGTATGTTGTAACCACGCACCCAGCCAAATTGGATTCACAGCGAGTTGAATTTATTGCAAGATTAAGAATGCTATGACATGTTGACAGCTACCAAAAAACCCAGAAGTTCACTGAAATTATTGTACAGAGGCTGCTTGTGTCCCACTGTGCATAATATCCTCAACCCCAATAATCTACCATGTTCATATCTCAAAAAATAGGGATATCTTACAAACAAAAAAAAACCCTGCCGAGCTTTTCAAAGAATTCAGGAAAGGAACCAAACCTACATTATTAAATGAATGAATACGAATGTTTAAAAACTTGTAATATTTTGGAAATTTGACCTAAAAAAACGGATACCACCAAATGTTAGTGTCCACATGTGGAAATGTAAAACTGATTGTAAGAGTAGATATGTTGATGTATTCCGGTCACCATGTGACCAAAACTCGGTACTCTCATGAGCAGCCCAATGATGAAAATTGCCGTGGATATGTAGAATACGTCCATTTGTGCTTGTCAAAGATAGCGCTGTAACCCGAGCATCGTAGCCACCACCCCTCTCAAGTTCCAGTTTACAACCATGCAATTCACTAATTTCGTTACATTCTCAAATATAAATGTAGGTGTTTATGTGAATATTTTATTATTTAAATGAACAGCATTGTGTTTACCTAACAAAATTATATATTTACATTTTTAGATTAACATTTATATTAACTCGCATTCATCAGTCAGCCACAACCTATCCACTGCTGGACGAAGGCATTCACCAAGCCATCGCCACCTCTCACGGTCTTACGATGTAATGATCCGTGTTTAGTCCCCGTGCACGAACCGATTTCATTGCTCCGTCTCGTATTCTTGGGCACCGCGTCGTTAATCTCGATCGCCGGCTATCATCGCTCCGTGTGATGTCTTCTGCTCAAGCCCACTTACTATTCAGCCCACTCACTATTCAGTCAATACGATGTCCGCAACTCGTCTAAGTCCTCCACTCCAATGTTTCACTTCCTGTCTCAGTTAATTCCATGCAAATACCTCTTCAAGCTTCCGTGCAATTGTTCAGCTTTTGGGATATTTTCCTTTGTAAATCCTCGTCACCGATCCATATACACCGATTAAAAACCTGTATTGTCGGCACATTGGCATGTTGTTTTTAATCACGTTTTACAAAGTATTCAAACCTGCTCTCGTTCACCCCCATTTCATCATTTCGATTTCCGAGCTGTCCTGAAATATTCCTTATAGCGTTTAGTGAACTTGTTGAACTTTAAATTTTCTGGTTATATTTATCTGGAGCCACACTTTGTAGATTAATTTATTAAGTTCTGGTTGCATTTTTGTAGTTTCATTGCCAATGGTTGTCGTCTTTTTAAGCAAATCCGAGATGCTAAACATTTCATTCATTTATATTTATGCCTTTATTTCTCAATTCAATTTTCGGTACAAATATTCAAACGCGCTATTATCAACATTATTCTTTAAACATTTACAAGCTTTAACGAACATAGGTGTACAAATGAACTCTTGATAAACCACGATTTCTAAAATTCAACTCCCACGATCCGCGGGAATGAAGATCCTGAAATCTCAATTTTTACCGTGAATCTTTTAACCTCTTCCTGGAGCGGTCAATATCCCCAAGAAGATAATCTGCACTGAAGTGACATTTATTTGGGAGCGCAGGCAAGCTTCAAATGAGCCACCATGCTTCACGGAGCCTCGCAACGCAGATATGTTTAACTCGCTGCAAGCACATCTCTCTGCGTGTTGGGAGGAAGACGGCGACACACACACAAACGGCACAGAAAAGAGACAAAGGGAGCAGCAGAGGACAGGCAGTGATGTAGACAAACGGAGCCAGAGATGAAAACGTGCAGTGACAAACGTTCCTTGAGACCAGGCCACGAACAGACAAGCAGCGATACAAAGATGCAGAGACAAACGGAGAACGAAACACGCAAAGCTGCAAACACAAACCGACCTCCAAAGAATCAGCTGCAGACAAACGTAGTTGCAGAGGCAAATGGATATGCGGAAGACAGAGCGATGGACAGATGCAGAGATAAACGGAGGTACACTTTGTGGTATTTGTTTACATGCCACAGACTGCTTTAATTTGTTGAATCGTAAAGGAGTTTAGACATTTCAGAAGCGTCTATTAGGACTCAAAACATTAACACAGACCCAAATGAGAGATATTCTCCATTTGGGATTTAAGAAAAACACGGCAAAACTCCTGTAATCCGAGTTTTTTTCATTGGTTTAATGTTGTTGGTAGTTACGTGCCACGCTTCTGTAATGAGCATCCAGTCTAGTCCCGTGCCTCGAGAAACTCTTAAATCGGCGATATATACCACGATCGTGCCAATCTTTTCACTGATTGGATTTTTCGCGGTATGCCGCTGATTAGAGGATCCGCCGAATGCCCCCCCCCGCCCCACATCACCGTTGGATGAACAGAGTTCAGCTGCATCGCGTTTACACATCGGTACAAACGACAGCCGCCCACTCCCCAGTGGCTGTGTGTCGCGGGAAGCAACGAAACTTTCAATTCAACTTATCGTTTTGACATCGGATTCTGCGCTCACATGCATCGAAATCTCCAAATTCGACGTTAAAAAACAATGTTAAAGTTTCGAGAAAGATTTTGGAAAGGTGCACTTTGAAATTCAGTTCACCTGGCATTCGCATAGGGGGAAATGTCCGTTAACGGGGGAGATGAAGGAATGCACTGCAGCTGCAACTTTCTTCATGCAAAGAGCCACATTTCAGTGGTGAATGAATCCTTAACAAATGTGATGTCCATGGGAATAGCCAAAGTGGCTTGAGGAAGTTCTATCAGTGATTCTTGGGACTCAAAAAGACAACATCCATATAGGTCTAATACTGCAGCGCATTCATGTCAGCAACAAAAACATTTCCTGTAAATCCGAAATTTAGAATGGATGTGGTCTTGACCAGTGGTTCTCAAACTTGATGGATCCGCAGGCGCACGGTCCACTCGCGTAAAATATTTCGCAGACCACCATACAGTAAAAAAAAAACTACCGTGTTGTATGGGAAAAAAATATCGTATCCGAAACAGTTACGTGGACCACTTCCAATAACCATGCAGGCCGTCAGCAACTGGTCTCGTCAGGTATGCATGTAAACAATGCATTACGTTATCGACGAACAGTTCAAATTAATCGTTTCTGAATATTTAGCATTTATTTAAAGCAGACAAATTAACAATGGGTGGAACGATATATTTTTTTACAATTGGCGTAATTAAAATAGTAATGTAACTTGTGAACAAATACACTTTGAAGTCGTTGGGAACGTGTATATTTTAACTATTCCCTCCATACGCTAACGGGATTTGTAGTAACAACTTACATGTCATACATTTAAACACAGTTTGGACAGAGGAAACCATAAATTCCCCAAAATGTGTGCAAGCGAAAACATGATAATGGAATGCACCGTCTGAATTCGTGTGATTAGAAAGTGGTAAGAAAAATTATTAAACAGAACAAACCGATTCTATAATGCAACCCTCGCTTCCATCCCATCTGTTTAAATGAATAACATTTGAATCAGTAATTGTTTTCATATACAGAATTTCTCTTTTAAAAATACACTTCGCAGATTATAGGAACTGACCTGGTTATACTTTTTTGGTTTATTGAAAACAGTTAAGTTTTATATTATGTAAAAATACAAACGCACCTCGATAGAACGTCAAGCGATCAAAGGACTGAATTTTTCTTGAAATCCCACAGGGGTTTATCCATACATGTTAGTTAAGGCACTGTGTAAATGTATACACCAAAACACTTGCACATGTTTTATTAGCAATGTACACAAAAGAGAAAAAGATTTCAATTCACATTGGGAAAAAAAATCATTTATTCACCAAGTTCTAAACTGCAGTTCATTATTGCTGTCATTTAAGAAAGGCGACATTAATATTGAAATTTGGTGGGAGTCCTCTGCAAATAGTGAGGATGACAGACACAACGACATGACGTCTTTGAAACCAGGGGTAGAGGGAGACCGAGGTTTATACAAAGTAGTGATAGACACACGTCAGCACACGCACACAAGCAATGATACCACACACACACACACCACCCATACCGATGCCATAATCGGTCATAAAGCTGTGCTGTCGTGACTCATGGGAAGCATTCAAACGCGGATTTACTTGCTCACTCTCTCAACATTCGCATCGTCGTTTATGCTCAAAATCAATCAAGCGCTCAATTTAACTCAGTTACACGGTCACAACTATGACGTTGGAATTGTTTTTCTCATTGTCGGTTACATTGTAATAAATGTAATGCAGCCTAGAGTACCATTGTTCTTTTGCCCCATGATCAAATATATTTTAAGTAAAATAACGTGTTCTCAACATCCAATTTTTTTTCTTGAAAATGATTCAAGTTTAAAACAAGCAATTAACAAAATACACCTGACTGCTGTTTGTGATGAACATTAAGGATCTCAATTGTCACACACAATCACACACAAGGTTTACCAGATTACTGGCCTTCCCCTTAGTTGGCACAATTACAACCACTTTAAAATTTGTGAGGGCCTGGAGGGATGTATGGAATAGAGATGAACAGAATGCGTGATTGGGGTATATGAGTGGGGCACCGCATTCATCAGCAATTTACCCACCATTGCTCAAGTGTGTACAGAACAAGTAAAATACAATGCCTACATAATGCCTGTGGCACGAGTAAGGCAGAACACCGGCAAAACGATCATTCAGCAGATGTGCCCAGGTGATGCCGAGTGGTTATATCATCTCTCAGGTAGAGCAAGCAAACTCTCTGCCTCCAACCATAGTAGAATCAGACCCAGTGACGAATGTGGTGTGACACTGCTTAACGAGTCTGAATATTAAACAATATTTTAAAATCTTGACTTAAAGCTTTCGTGACTGCAGAATTCATATGCTTTGGGTCTTTCGGTAAAGTCACGTAGATAGGTTCAAAGAAAATTAAAAAGAGGAGGAAAAAAGCGGGGGAAAGCTTTCTCCACCTTTTTTCCTCCCGATGACGATCGCTTGTGTTGTGATCGAAACGTCGTAGTTTTTTGTTATTTTTATTTTATTTGAACCTATCGACATGACTTTACCGAAAGACCCAAAGAATATAATATTTTAAAATGTTTGCAATGACTTTCCGTGACATGGATGTTAACGAGCCATTGTGGCCACGACCACCAATGCTGTGATGTTTCATATGATCAACGGAATAAGACGGTCACAAACAAAGGTACAACTTCGTGTCACAAGAGAACAGCAGCACTTGGTAGTAATTCGTCCAAACGGTCCGATTTTTCTGTTCCGACTGAGCTGAGCTGGCAGTACCTCTTAAAATGGATAGGCATGGGGGGGACACGGGATGTGGTGTGCATAGAGTGCAAGTGGTTAGGCACAGGAACGTGCAAGTGATTCAAGAGCAAAGCTGGTGGCACAAAAGCAGTGCACACTTGGGGCAGCAGTGTGGGGGTGAACTTGGCAGTGATTGTCTGGAAGTTTACACTGGGGTTGTGGGTGAATGTATGCGAGAAGTGGAGCAAGCTTTGGAAGGGGAAGCCAACGTGAGAAAGAAAGATTAATGGAAAATAAGGGGTCGATCAGGGCAAAAGCATCCCTCCTGTTGACCAATGACTTAATCAGTCTTCCTGAGCACACAGATAGCCACATGACCCACTGACACTCTGTCCTCTGGTCGACCCATGACGATTGTGATTCTGCCGGCCCATGCTTCCACATCAAGAGGTCACCTCTGCATCTCCATCACTGGAAAGTAACAGCAAAACGTACAATTGTTAATACATTTAATACGTGCAATATATAGTAGATTAAAGTTGCAAAATAGTGGCTGCACCAGTAACCCAATAAATGTGTTTGCACGTAAATCACTTGGAAGGTAATACACGGTGGAAGCCAACCCCAACAGGAAACATTCATCTAAAATATAAAACGGTTTATCTGAACCAGCACATTGATGCTGAATTGATGTTAATGCAGTGTGTTCAAACATCTGTTGTTGTTTAATTATGAGCACCATTTTTTTTATACTTTTATTCTAAAATACTCTCCCATTACATTATACGTTTGTAATTCTTTCCAACAGTTGACATCGAGGAGTAATGTTTAATCTCTCTCATTTCTCATCATGTGTTGTCCTTTTCTTAGGATCCTCTATGTACATTTTATAGATTCCATTTTTTAAGTTGCATATATATATACACCCCCCCACTAAATAGTGGTGGTGGTGGAGCAATGATGCATAAGTTAGCACACTGCTAAGAACTCACCAGAATGAGTTTGATTCTTAGCTACAGCTAAAATTGTTGGAAAGTGATAAATTCACTGATCTTGAGCCCCCTTGCACCAAACTGCACAGACCAGCATGGTGTAGCATGGAAAAAAAAATTTGGACAGAAATGGCAAGATGAGGCCTTCATTCAGCAGCGCATTAATACAATTCTGTAAATTAATAGAAACTTTCTGGAATAATGGTATATATGCCCATTGCAGATGTACCAGTACATTGCATGCATAGCATATATGTGCAATGCAATGTTTGATTTCTTAATCTCACTGTGCATTGTTCAATTAATTATCAATGTCCAGCATCGAACGGGGACAATTTCTCATGGTGAATAAAAGCAAAAATGTACAGCGTTATATATATTCACACCTCCGATTAGCATGTTTGGCTACGTATGGTGTGAAATAAGTTCAACATATATACATATGTAACACACACACGTGTGTGCACAGCTTTGATGCTATCCCTTAATTGTGGCCAAATAAAATGCAGCCTCCTCTAATTTTTGCAGGAAGGAGGCCCTGGGATTTTGTCAGCACTGAATATTTGCTGGTTTATTCCAGGATGTTTCTGTTATGCGTTGTCGCTTTAAGATGGTCTGTGTTCAAATTTTGTTTGTTGCGGTTGCACCCGACTTAAGAGCCGCATGGCTCACAGGGCTATACCTAATAAATGGAACTTGAAAACTTGAATGTAGACAGTGGCATGTGAGGTGTGGAAAAACCACATTGGCTCAAACTTCGATGGAGTGCAGCACTGTCCGAGTTAGTAAAATTGTGCACTCGTGTGCATTCGCATGAAAATGAGTGCATTTTTTTTTTGTTCTAACCATGTGTACAATTCTAACACTAATTACATCTGTGAGTGGGTGTGCTCCCTAAGGAGGCTTCCACCAGTATCTCCCTCCTTTAAAGCCACTTGTCTGTCACTGTGAATTAGACTGTGCAGTATCCACTGAAGCACGCCTGCCAATGACCAGTGTTATGTAGTCATAATGCCACATGCGCGACTAAGTATTTGTGCAAAATAAGCATGTACAACATAATCATGCACAGCGGTGAAATGTTTAGTCAGTGGTTCCTATCTGGGATTCCCCTGTTAAAAGAGTCTCATCTGCAAGTATGAAACATTTGCAACTGTTCACTTAAAAGGAGTAGGCAATTATATTAAAGGATACTAAAGCTTCAGCGCATCATATAAATATATGGCCAAAGTAAAATGATATCTTTTAAGCCAACATTTGTGTGCACTTGTGTGCATCAGTGCATGTCAAATATTCCCCATTTAGCTTCAAGGATTATTAGGACAAGCACTGTTGGGCGAGTACCTATGAAACTAACTATTTTATTTTACCAGGTAAGGCCCAATGAGCGATACGGCTCTTTTTCAGAAGCGACCTGGCCACAAATGATAGTTCAAAGGAAGTGGTTTATAACGTGGAGATTCATAGCAGCAAAATACTCCAAAAGCATGTTTCTCAATGTGGAGGGAAAACACGGAGAAAGATCCATAAAAAAATCCATGCGAACATGGGGAGAACATGCAACATACAAATATACAGGCATCAAGGTGAGGGATTGAACCTGCGCACTCCTGTATACCAGACGAGGTAGTTAACATCTCACCACCGTGCCACCACCCCTTTAAGGCTGCTGGCATGGCACTTCAGCAGGCAGTGGCTAGCACAATATCTGGCCGCAATTTATTTCAGTGCTGATCATACGTCAGCCAAGTCAACCTCGAAGTGACCCACGGGAAGTTGAGTTTTAGATGTCAATTCACACCATATCCTTATGTTATGTACACCAGACTTAGATGCTCACTAATAACTTAGTCCCAGCAGCCTATAAGGCGTATTATGACTTTTGCCATGGCATGTTTTGCATGTGTGTAATACTTTTGAGCAGTTCATATGTTTATTTAGAACTGCTTATTGTGTTCAGTTTTTTGTCCTACCCCGCAACCTCAGATTAGCACGGCTGGCTACGTACGGTGCGAAAGAAGTTCAACATACTTGTTCTAAGTTGGAATAACTCACTATGTGGTTGGATGTGGGATTGAGAGTGAAGACGTTCAGGTGGCGCGAGCGGGGGCTGCCGCGCCCCCTTTTTCCCACGCCCCTTGCGTTTCCCAGTCTTTGTCTGCTCCTACGAAAAAAGAGTGAACAGCGCTGAAACGACACATCGATACGATCGTGTGGCATATTCTCAAGCGCAGAGCAAACACATGGCAGAGTACTCAGAGTCTACCTAGTTCTCATCAAGTCTCTATTTAGCAGGCACTGGAACCTATTACATTGTTGTGGTAGAAAGCAAACAGTCGATAAGGGAGGCAATGGTGCTTTAGCACAAACGTACTCACGAAAGGGATACCTACGGACACCAAATACCAACGCATGCTGTTCTGATATTGTAATTACAGTACACTCACCATTGTGCCGTGCCGACACACAATTGTATAAAGATAGATGCATATATACACACACACACACACTCTCATACACGAAAGAACATAAAAAAAATAGAGACATGCAATCATGCACATACATGTCTTAATGATGAAGGTTAATGGAATCAAGGTAAAAAAGTGCTTCCGACTCATATTTCCAAGCAATAAAGATTCCCTTATCTCTGAAAAACAATATTCTGACACCTCTATCTCATGTCGACACTTCTATGACATTGCTAGGAGCCTTTACTATGGCTTCCTAAATGATTCAGTGGATGTTTTTTCTGCAGCATGGCCAGCAGGCTATTCTAAGCTTCTGCAACTCAACTGCCTCAACCTCCCTGCTGTGCTCACTATTGCGCTGTTTTAATGCACAGCCTTCAGACCAAATCGGCTATCTGAAATAACCTATCTTTGTCAACGAAATTAAGTCCCTGTACATAAAACTAAATCCCCAACTGTACAGTTTCAGTCTCATTAGCTGAGATGACAAGTTCAGTATCCACCTAATCTGCAGTTATAACTCGACAAACTAAATCCTGGTTATCACTGTCACAATCCCTCTGCTGAAACCGCTAAACCCCGCCTTCATCGTTGGACAATCACGAGAGAATGTGGCATTTCCCAAGCTGTCTTAATACAAGCTTAATTTAGGGACAAAATAATTTCCCTGCGGTTAAATATCGACCCCTCTTGTTCTGTAGCTCACAATTAGATTTATCTAATTGTCTGTGACCTTGCACTGCCTGGGAAGTTTTATTGAGTCATTCACTGACAGAACACCCCCAATGCTTTTAAAATGCCACCGACTGCAGTAATGTTCCTCTCTTCCTCTCTAAATGCAACCTATCATGCTCATCAACAAGCAACACTCCATTTACTACAGATCATTGTCTTTTCCGCTATTGTGATCATTTCGTTAAACAAGAGTAATTTCATTGATCTGATTCAGCTTAATAGCATGGGAACCCATGCTCTGCCATGTGATAAATACATTATCAATGTGTTTTTGAATAACCTTTTGAAAAGTCAACAGTGGTCGAGCAAATGGCATTTTCAACACTGCTTCAGGGCCACCAATGTATGCTAAATGTACAATTGTCAGTTTGAGCGGACAAATACGTTGTGATTGTTTAAAAACGACACAATGGTCGATCAGAAGTTGCATAAAGCATGAAGATCAGTCGACCAGCATTTTTTTAAACGACCCTCCACAACACACTATATTTTTCCTGATGATATTTCCCCACTGTGTTTTCACAATTCGGGCCAAAATCAGAGGTGTAAACTGTGCCGAGGTGAGCATGGTGAGACGACACAGCAACCTGTTCTAGAGTATTGGGAAATTTCGTTTCCCATCTACGTTTGTACCGTTGGTTTAGGTTAAAGCAGCGACTGCCACCTGAACAACCCTGTGAATCCAGTCTCTTCAATCCTCCCAATCATGTCGACCAATTAATTGCATGTTGCCCCATTTGCTCACTCATGCTAGACCTGTGAATGACATTGACGGTGGGGATCAACTTCATTTTTTGTAGCATATATGATTATTTTGTATAATAATTATAATATTCCGCATTAAATTCAACATTCTGCTTTATGCAGTGTCTTGTGTATTGAGTTCCTCTGACCACTTCTACACCACAAGCTCCTTAGAATGCACGTAAGAGCACGTTTAAATATGGCTACCGCCGCCCCTTAGTCATCTGCCAGTGACGAACATGCACTCGTAAACATATTGTGGATAGCAAGGTCATGCAGACCCTTTACAAAGTCCATGGCGATTACGAGAAAATGTGTTCAATTATTATGTCAAGATTTGTTATTAAGGTCATAGGGTTCCTTTAATTGTGAAAGCTTTTTTTTAATGCTCTCCCAAGGCTGTTTGATTTATCATATTTTAATATCCCCTGGAATACATCTGTGATGGTCTTGTTGGACGGTATTCCATTAACTTGCACGCGTTGCCCATCTTGAACTGTTCTCCTGCTTGCACGCCATCCTTTGTAAAGACTTTTTCGGCCAGCATCTTCAATCCCCTTGAAAATGTAAGACCAAATTACTTTTCCCGGGGTTTGCCCCTAATCCAAGGCTCATAAAGCTCTCTGCAGAGCCTTGAAATTGGCCTGTCTTACGTCAGAGCTCAACAGTAAGTTTTTTTTTCCCTTAAGCCTTGCACTATGTAGTTAAATTATTTTTAAGTTGTGCTACAATTGCTAGAACGTAGCTTATCTCTCCATAACTGGATTGCTGACCATTTCTCAGCGAAGCAATGAATGCAAATGGTGACCCCACACAATAATCCCCCCGATATTATAAAAGGGGAAAAACTTATCTGAATAAAACTATGAATGTATATGTGTGTTTCATTCAATGCTGGATTCAACCATACAAAAATCATAACCTGGAGGATTGAGGTACATTACATTTTTTTGTTAAAGCTACCCCTTTTCCAAGCCAACAATGTAGACACCACACCTTGGCTACCTCTGCGCGGCCAACACCACCCCCGTCATTAATTCACCCAGTATCTGCTAAAGGTCAACTATCAGATATTCAGAATCAGAATATTTAATTATCCGGGAGAAATCCGATGAGCTATAAAGCTCTTTTTCAGAGATGTCCAGGAGGGGCGGGTAAGAACGTTACAATAATTCAAATGGCCCAAACATACAAATAAAACGAAACCATCCCCATCCTACCAGGCAAAGTCCACTGAGTTAACTTATTTTTCAGAAGCTCAAGTGGCCCATCATTTGAACATTTATAGCACCAAAAATTATCTAAACAATGTCAATGCATGTTTCTAGATTGTGATATAAACACGTACGCTTTTGCGACCAATATCATCCATAATTTAGTTTTTTTTGTATTAGATCGCGTAACTATAAATGATTAGTACTCAATATTTATCTTAACCCTTACGTTCGAGCTTGGATGGTTAAATTGTTATATTCTTGGTTCTTTCGGTAAAGTCACGTATAAATGTGTCGTTAAACCCACCACCACCACCACCCGACAGCCAATTTGTATGCTGTACTAATAACGAATTGGCATGTTCTGTTCACGTGTCAAATCTTATTAACTGGCTGTGTCGGGTGGTGGTGGGTTTAACGACATGTTTATATTTACGCGATCTAACCCGAAAAAAACCTACATTATATATTTTGAGTGGGTGAATTATAGATACACCACCTTTGAACTTTTATTTCAGGCAGCATCTTGCCCATTGCATGCCTCACATTTAAGTGTATGAGCTCGCACACTATTACTTTGCTGTGTTCATATACATACACAACAACAATTTAACCTTCTGATTTAAAGCTTTCGTGACTGCAGTGATTCATATTCTTGGTTCTTTCGGTAAAGTCACGTTTCCCCTTCAACGTGACTTTACCGAAAGAACCAAGAATATAACAATTCAACCATCCGAGCTCGAACATAAGGGTTAAGATAAATATTGAGTACCAATCAATTTGGAGTGTTCTCTTGATATCCTGTTCCCAAACCGCTTGGACAAGTCTCGCACACTCCGCAAGAGTAAACAGCCTCATGTCAAGTTGTGCTCTCACCGTCCCACCCACGAGTGCGGACGCAAGCGCGTGCGGGTACCCATTGGGGACATCGGAGGTCGCCACGCCCACAGCCAGCCGGTGGTCAAGGCCTGTGTTACCTGAAACACAGCGCAAAGCGGTCTCTTGACTCGTCTCTTCACGTTTCCGTTTCGGTTTTTCAGTTTCATTTATCAGGTGTGACCCTGTGAGCCACGCAGCTCTTGACTCGGGTGCAACCGCAACAAACACAAACATGAACAAAGAAACATCTTAGAGTGACTACACGCAACAGAAAAATCCAGGAAAAAAACAGCAAAGTCTTCCAGAAAAAACACCGTATTTCAACGCTGTGTGCAAAAATCCCAGTGGGATGCAAGTCGTTGGCTATTGCCAATTCACTGCCGGAAGGTAGGATCATCTCCATGCCATCTGCACTGTCACCAGCGTTTTGCAGCCACAAATTTATATTAACTTGCAAAGTGAGCTGAAATGTAATTACTCCATCTCCCTCCTGATTGTTCCCTCCCCGAATGGAGGCTATAATTCTCTTCTTTTAACTGCTGTTTTGTTTCCTGGTTTTTTTCTTGTCACTTGCCAGTGCATTGTCCCATCTACTCCCACACGTTTTCACCAGCAGTGCATCACACAAGACCCAAACTGGCAGAAATGAAAAGCAATAAAACTGCGGGTTGCCCCAATGGAGAGCGGGGTACAACAGTAACCGCACCATTACAAATGAGCCAAGAATATGTTTGTGTGTAACGTGCGTGAAGTCACTCCACGTCGACCAGCCCCGTTCATTAATAATCATGAACAGGTGGGGTCTTCCACATGGCCCCCCCCCCCCCCCCCGGTAATAATCATGAGCTGATGCACGAGGATACTCAAGAGCGCAATGGTCGGCTAAAGGATACGTGCGGGCAGATTTTTCAGAATTGTGGGAGGACTCGCAGCTACCTAGGATAGGACAGGCACATGTGCCGGGGGAACGTAAGACACCAATCACACTCCAGAGGGTGTGGGGGATGCTCACCGTGACCCGAGTGCAGAGCGGCACTGCTGTACTGCTGCGGGTACCAGGGTGGGGGCGGCCGAGCGGGCGGGCCGTCAGTCCGTGCGTGCTGTGTGGGCGCGCATGCCTCCTGCAGCTGGGACCCCCCGGGCACCTGCAGATGGGGGAGAGGGGGGGGGAGTCGCAGTAGGGCTTGACGCATCAAACGGTCTCTTTAATGTCCAACGCTTTCTTTCAAGATGAGGGGTCCCAACTGCCTCGACACTCTCATCATTTCTAAGCCTCAAAACCTGTGATCTTGTTTGATTTCATTCTTGTTTTTAACTGTAGATGGGTGAGTAAAGACAGGAACAGAACTGTGTTTTCTGTACTTGGGTCACCTCATTGTAGATACCTACTGCTTAGAAACGGCACCAAGAATGGTGACAAATAAATCTGTACATTAATAACATTTTTTATGACTGATGAATACAAAACTTCCCAGACTTGAGCGATAATTGCAGTTCCTATTATAATATACAATTAACTTCATTCAATTCTGCATTTCCATTAATTGAAACACTAAATGTATTCCTGCGTGTTGTATGCTATACTCAGCGACCCGAGTTCGATTCCCGCTCATGGCCAACACCAGTGACGATTATTTGAACCGGTCCTGGGCCACCCCTAGTAGACTCAGCCTCAAATGAATACCTGGTGTGGTGTGTAGTAAACATCGTCACTAGGGAGACAAAGGCGGCCAGGCGTGGTGTGTTGGCCACCCACCATAGGTGCTCACTAACAGCACTTGCTCCAACAGTATGTTAAGGCTATACGGGGGATCTTTGTCTTGTACGCACAGTCGATTTTTACTTCATTTTTTACGTCTATAATATTTCCTGGCTTTTTTTTCAGTATAACAAATGTCAGGTTTTTGCTGTTTTATGAATATTTGAGTTACCTACTTCAGTTTCATTTGGTTTCCTTAATTTTCAGTTCCATTTCGGAGATGATTAACTCAAATACCGCTGGCAGAAAGTCAACACCTTCGAGGGAGCGCAGTCACTATTGCAAGTAGCACAGGATCACTGGAGAGCTTCAGCATACAGGCTCAATTAATCGTTCACTTTTTACAGCCCGTGAAAAAAAGAGCTACACCACATTTGTCAATTTCTGGCATCTTTAGTCATGTTCACGGATTTTAAGGAGCGAGGTGTAAAAATGACAAACGCCCCACTGCCGCTGTTATCCTTTCAATGCCGTGATTGCAGATTTTTGTTTATGGCCGTAAAATCAATAAAACAACGGCTGTGGTATTCATCACGCGAGACATGTCGACCCACATTAAATCCATTTGCAGTTTATCCGGAAATTGCATGCCTTACCTGAGCCAATTTTGGAAAAAAATGTATAGGCACAATAACCATCCAGTTTTGAAATTAATATATAATTTATAATATGAATTAGATTAATAATAACCTGGCCTTTAAATACAACCTAGCCATATATGAGTACCGCACTTATTTTTAGGTTTTAATAAACATGCCATTAGATAGGTTATACTGGATTAATATAACAAGGCACTACGAGTCATCATACGGCACTGAGATGGAAAATTAAGTGAGTTACAATGTACTGCTGTGATACTGATCGGCGTTGTGTAGAAAAAAACATTGTTTATATCACATTACAGGACAGATCAACATCACGGTGCCGAATACATTTTCAAAGTAGGTCAGATCACGATGCAAACACAGTGACAATAACTATGTCGGAGCAGCCAGCGCTGAAGGGTAATAAGTGTGAAATGCAAGCTGGGAGGTTTTTAATAAGCTACAGCAATTTATCGATGTTTGAGAATCAACACCTGGCCTTGAACTGTTCATCTCCATGGTGCTGAAAGAACCAAAGAGTAATTCCTGCAGTCACAAAAGTTTCAAATCAAGTTTCCAGGCTCTACAGTTAACCATTAAAATGTGATGCACATACCCAAAATGTTCCAGGAGTTCACAATTAGACTCGATGCAGTGCATTAACTCTTCATTACTCTTGAGTTTTTGTGAGGATGGTTGTCGTAGGTCAAAATTAAATAACTGAATCAAAATTACATTAAAATGTTACAAAATGCAACACAGGTATTAAAATGAACTAAAACATGAATGAAATCTTCAAATTATGTATAACTGGATTAATGCTTATTATGTGAGAGAATAAACTTAATTTGAATGTACTGTGTTTGGCTCTTAATAATGGAGTTCACTATCCTGAGATGCAAAGGGAAGGGATGCCAACCACTTTTCCATGTGCACGTTGCATCATCTAATGTGTGGCAAATCCACACAAGGAAAATACTTTGAAAATCTGCTAAATGTAAAGATTTCATTTTAGTAAGTGTAAAATCGAAACGAATGATAGCAATACACATAAAAGGTTTTTGGGTTAGATCGCGTTAGCAATTCTTCCAAACACAGTTATTAGCGGTGGCAGAGCATGCTTGCAAACAAGGACATTCGATTTATTTTGATAACGTTGAAGTGTTATGCAGAACTAATTATTACTGGGCAAGATTAGATAGAGAATCAATTGAAATTGAGATGAATTCAAATAATTTAAATCTCTGTGATAGCTTTAGACTCAACGCAGCCTGGAAGCGTATTATTAAGTAATACACAACACATATTGCAATTCCTTACAGGTGAGTCACATGCTAAGTGGCTGATTACTGATCTATTACATAATTGCAAACACCCCCACCCCTGGATCTCGAATCCTGATGGAGTTCAACAACGATGACGTCATCCTGCACGATTTAAGACCGGAAGCAGGTGGATGGCTTCACTATTCTGGCAAATCGCCCGAAGATGCTGGATGCAATTTCCAGCGAAACGGCGTACTCAAATTGTAAATGTTGTGGATCCACTCTTCAACACACCGGTGGGCTAAAGTAGTGAACTATGTCTTTTGTGAACGTGACACATTTTTTACTGATTGGCCGTGTCAAGCGGTGGTAGGGGTGCGACACATTTATGAATAACGCGATCTAACCCAAAAGCCTTTATTATGAATAATACTGGTCGCGAACGCATACGTGTTAAACTGATAGCAATAAAACAAGAAATAGCACAGGGGGCACCAAGACAGGAATATGAATAGGGAAGGTTGGCTCCTTCCTGGGGATTCAGGCAACCACAGGCCTTTGCATAAAGAGCCTCAGAAAAGGTTTTGCATGCTTACAGCCTGTCAGCCACAAGAGAGGGGGGGAGAGTGTCTGGTTAATTAACATCGCGATAACAAATACCTGCCACCGATTAACCTGCTGGTGCCCTCCCCCCACCCCCACTGGGAAGGCAGACTGAAGAATGTACTTTATCACAGCGGCTTCCCAGTGTGTCATCAGCGGCCCTTCGATGCGCCACTATACTGACCCGTCACAAGGCACCGATAAGCCATTGTGGATTGTGTATGTAGCAATACACAATCCACAATGGAATTTTTTGCAAACGCACCGGAAGTATTTGCCACCGCGCCAGTGACATTATTTCCATGTAATAAAAAATCACAATCTCTTGCCAGCATAAAAATTGGTAATTTCTGCCATCACATGAGTGATTACTAATAACCAGCCTTGCACCACATCGCATAGCTATTATGCAACTTATTAACAACCACGCTGCAACTGGCAGGGTCGACAAGGAGTCGACGCTACCTAGGATTCAAGTCGATGGCTGGCGAGGCGAGCCCTTGCCAAGGTATGCACGCATGCTGCATCCCGGGCCAGGGGTAATCGTCGTGTGCCCCCCACTACGTGGCCCACCCGCAAGCAGAGGTCGTGCTGCGCTGCCGTTGGATACTCGTATTCATCAAGCTACTCCTCATTTCCATGTAGCTCGGTACCGCGGCTCCCCCCCCCCACCCCCCCCCCGAGTCAACACGAAGCACAATGGTGCTGCACGTTAAAAAGTGCGGCACAATACGTCTCTCGCACATCACTTTTTCGTTTTATCTCCCGTGAAACAGAGGAGCACGGTGGGACAGAAACACGCGTACCAGACTCTGGTAAACTTGGCTGCAGGCAGGCTATTACACATTCAAATGAATATGGGGATATAGGAAGCAAAAGAACGTTGGATTGTATTACTAGAAGCTAAGTTGCGATGCAGAAAGTGTTTATTAGGGCTTATGGTTTTTAGATGATTAGTTATCATTCACGAGTAAGAGTTTATTTCTGAGACTTTATAATGGAATGAGAATTACAGGTCATAGGATATCAGTGTTCATGGGGTAATGGATAGGGTGCATGACCAAGGGTTATGAGTTTAAATGAACACCTGCTGTTGTGTGTGTGCATAATGAAACAGGTTGGCCAGCGTTCCCTGAACTCCACTGTGCATGCCCCCCACCACAATCCAGGTTTCATCAGATGCCTGCAACAAAGAGTGACTTCATTTGAACTGCAAGAGGGAACACTGGTGAAGATGTGAAACTTGATCCATGCCAGGGACATGAGGAATTCATTCTTCAAATTGTATCCCCGCTCAAACGAATGTAGGGTGCCTCTCGTATCGCTGTTGGTGGTCATTAGGCAGTGATGAAATATCCATATTGTATAACTAGGGGTTGGTCGGGGGCACCTATGGCGCCCCTCAACCATTTGCAGCCTTCGGCCAGGAAAGTCACAAAAAAATTACACACGAACGACGCATTCACGCAAGCACCCAATGCTCCGTTTTGAAGTTTTAAAATGAAACATCTTTGAATTGTATTATTTTGAATTAGATAATTGGATTTCTTCATGAAAATCTTTTTTCATTTTACATCTGGAAGACTTAATTGAAAAGGATATTTCGTGTGAATTTTCTCCCGTCGTTAAGCAGATGGCCTTGCTGGGGGTTCGGTTCTATGCGGACTTTCACCTGTTTGGGATTGCGGGATCGAGATAAGGCGACAGAGCTGGCCGTGCAAGAAGACCGCCGTCTGAAGATCGATTCCAACGTAACCGAACGTATGTCCCTGCGCCTCCGTCGTTCATGCAGGGGGTGCGTAGGTTTGCAGCGCCCCCTGCATGAAAACGACGGAAAGTGCAGCGTTCATCACATAGATAAAGTTGTGCGCTTATACAAGAGTATGGCAGGGGGCAGTATTTCCAAGAAATACTGTTATCCTCCTAACCTTAAGACTCTTCTTCATATCTACTCCATGGTCAACTCCCAAATGGGTTTTGAGCTCAAGGTTTGCAAATGGGTTTTGACCTCAAGGTTTGAACTGCAAGATGAGCATTCTCACCACAGCATCACCTAATCGGCTTAGGGGTTAGGTCTTGTGTAAGGTTTTCCCAGGCCAGAAGTTAGACCTTGGGAATAAGAGTGCAGGGATTTTATACATGCAGGGTGAGGGGTGGTGATGGGCACACTAGGGGCTGCACACACACCTGGGATGAGACTTTATCTGCACTGTACATCAAGGACATCTCCCAGCCGGAGCTGCCACCTCCTCGTCTGCTTCCCCTCTCCGCAGACGCCGGTGGGGAGATGTTGAGCTGATGCATGGCCCCCTCTGCCTCCCCTGCAATGGGACATCCACCTGGACCCAGCATTCCTGTATTTCCACAATCACATACACGCAGACACATACAGATGAACAAAAAGGTGATTTAAAAACCCGATACAAAACATATACAATGGTCACAGCGCAAACAAAGAAGCGGACGTGTGCTTGTGCAACATGAACTCCCACTAGGCGTCGAGCTATGAATGCATCTTGATTTGCGGCATACTTTCCTTTTCAGGAAGGAGGCCACAGTCTATGATAGGTGTTGCAATAATTATTGTTTAGTTGTTGCAATAATTATTGCAACACCTAAACATTATTTTTTTTGGCAAACATTTGTTTTGGCAAAACAATCAACCAGTAATGCAGGTAAAGAAGGCTATCTAAATTAGGGTTTGGCTGTGTTCTTATATAGGTTCTTAAGGCAAGCCACAACAGCATGATGGGGGGGGGAGCAATCTTAAAGCTCCTGAAAGGTTAAGGAGCATATTAAATATGCTGAAATTAGCAAAAATAACCCCCGAAGGATTCTAGAACACTTGGGGTACAAAAGGATGTGGACATAACACATTGCTTGTCCCATCTTTGAACACTGCTCCAAAGTAATAAAAATCCATGTGTTGTGCAAGTCAGCATAGACGCCCATTCTAAGGGATGATATAATAGAAATAACTATTTTGTTTGTTCGATTTTTTTTCCTACCTCTAAGCAAATATATCTACGCAATGTGAATGCAAAACATTGCTTATGTATAGCTGTTGTTCTTTGACCAGACATTTCTTAGATCAGCAATTATACACACACACAAATGCAAGACACACCGTGACCAAGGGATCTTGCACCCAAATCACCATTGATGGGTTTCAAATACTCAGGATGGCTGTTAACCGATCTCCATGGCAACACACAGCAACAGGAAATTACCATTTAATTGGGAGGCATCCACGCGTGACGATGCCCTCCCCCCACCACCACCCCAGCACCCTCCTCACGTCCCCATTGCCCCCCCCCCGCCCGGCAAAACCAGTGGTGTTTGCAGCAACAACAACAAAGGGCTTGCATCTAGCGTGACGATTACCGCTCAACTCTGGTGCCACTCCGGCTGCTGATGCCAATTAGCAAGCATTCGAGCACAAAATAAAAAGTGACTCCCATAAAAGAAAAATAACTGATAAACAAATAAATTAAACATGCAAGAGGAGGCAGTGACGATCTTAAGTGCAGCTCAAAGCGGCCCTTGATTTCAGAGGGCAGTGCACGAAAGAGAAACACAATCTACGGCGACACCAACATTGGTGAATATCAACTAGAACGCTGTATGGACAAATCCTATTTTCGACAGATGAACAAACGTCAGTTATAAAAACACGCAAATACTGAGGGGGCAGAAATACAGAATGAATAAATGTGGCACACACAAATGCCAGAGCCGTCGTTTGGCCGGGTGCATTTACACATGTCCACACGCGCAAAGTATCACACGGTGTTTTTACTGGGGCATTTAAAGAGGGCGGGCCATCGTTAAACATGCGATGTCAGACAGTCACTGCTCGATAGACAATCGATGGCGGGAACGTCACCGCAGCCGCTCAACGATGGCGCTTTTTCCGGAACGTCACAAGTCGCTCAATGGTGGTGCTTTGTGCATCAGGTGAGGTGACTGGCAAAGTGCAGCTCATGTGAAACAAGCCACTTCCAAAAGCAATTTCAAAAAGTGCCACGCTCCATGCTAACCATGCGGAATAAGCGCATAATAACGGTCAATTACTAAATTATGATGTTAGACAGTGCGCGGTTAGTCTGTGCACTGTTCGAAAATACCGTGGAAAATTGTTAGGAAATTACACAGTCGGCGTTGCAACCTTAAATCGTTCAATTTTAAGGAACAGAATCCGAGTGGCTGAATGCTCTTTAAGTTGTCGCAGTGCATGCGTGCGTGCAGCCATGTCAAATTGAGGAATAGACGTACGTACATGTGTATGCACGTACGTACACTAAAACATAGATACCTACATACATTATGCACAAACCAACAACAACAAAACAGATTTCCCATTTAGTCTCAAGAGACTCTGAAGTGAGTGCTGTTAACAAGCACCTATTAGGTTTAATAAGGCACATGTTGGGGGACTCTGCCAAGCATCATGCCGAGCCACATTTGTATCTCGATTAAAAACATCCCCTCTGCCAAGTTGCCACATGGGTGGCCTAAGTTAGACACATTTCACTTCTATGCATGGCCATCAATTGAACTCAGGTTGTGGAGCCATCAGAGCACTTCCACTAACCCACTGTGCCATCACACCTCGGAGCAGACACGCTCGTACATTTTAATTCAAGCACACAGCCTCGGCGAGCTCAAGCACACACTTGTTCACACATCTATTGCATTTGGCCTTATGCAAGCTGGATAAAGCACAACGACCAAGACCCAACCGCTCCCCGACTGACGTTATGACCACTTTTGCGTGTGCACAAGGAACCAAATACAATCAGCAAGAGGCAGGATTGTGCGTGCTTATATCTTCCGCCTCTCACAGAATGAGCATAACAACCCTGGCTTAGACCGCCCTTCCAATCCCCTCCTGCCCTTTCTGGACCCGCTCGTTTCATCATACATCCCTACCCTTTCATTACCGCTCAATTAGCTCAAGTGCGCGGCACTGAGCATGAAATAATAGCGGTCTAAGAATAACCCTGTTGTTGAACTCGTTAACATCCTGCGGAGTCCCGATGTATCCAAGAGCAACGGATGTCCCCGAGGACCAATCATTACCAGAATAAGTAATTGCTGCGTTAGCACCCTAGGAAGGGGAAAAATATCAATGCCATTTTCGGCAGTAACACAAATTAGCCCAAAAAGCTATGCCATCTGGGCTCAGTACAAACAAAATCTGCTGAGGTAGAGCTTTACAAAAGGACATTTTAGGAATTTACTATCTCGGGCTTGAGACTAAAGAACTGGACATGACACCAGCACACATTGGTCAGCTCTTGCGAGTATGACAGAAGTCTACACAATTTAGTAGATAATACAAATATCCCTGAAAATGTTTCCGAGAGGCAAAATACGAAAATACGGAGGCCGAATCAGGCCTAGACCCAAGGTCAAAGCAAAATGTTACTTTTATAATGTTGTGGGGAAAATGTTGAAACATTTGTACATATGTAGTGACATCAGGGATGTCACCGTATGGTGCCGGCCCGGAAGGGTCGTACCGTTCGATGTTCCGACATCGTGGACAGCACCGTGTGGGTGGCTGTGTGTAACACCAGCCCTAGCGTGGACAGCACCGTGTGGGTGGCTGTGTGCAACACCAGCCCTAGCGTGGACAGCACCGTGTGGGTGGCTGTGTGTAACACCAGCCCTAGCGTGGACAGCACCGTGTGGGTGGCTGTGTGTAATACCAGCCCCAGCGGGGACAGCACCGTGTGGGTGGCTGTGTGTAACACCAGCCCTAGCGTGGACAGCACCGTGTGGGTGGCTGTGTGTGACACCAGCCCTAGCGTGGACAGCACCGTGTGGGTGGCTGTGTGTAACACCAGCCCTAGCGTGGACAGCACCGTGTGGGTGGCTGTGTGTAGCACCAGCCCTAGCGTGGACAGCACCGTGAGGGTGGCTGTGTGTAGCACCAGCCCTAGCGTGGACAGCACCGTGTGGGTGGCTGTGTGTAACACCAGCCCTAGCGTGGACAGCACCGTGTAGGTGGCTGTGTGTGACACCAGCCCTAGCGTGGACAGCACCGTGTGGGTGGCTGTGTGTAATACCAGCCCTAGCGTGGACAGCACCGTGTGGGTGGCTGTGTGTAACACCAGCCCTAGCGTGGACAGCACCGTGTGGGTGGCTGTGTGTAACACCAGCCCTAGTGTGGACAGCACCGTGTGGGTGGCTGTGTGTGACACCAGCCCTAGCGTGGACAGCACCGTGTGGGTGGCTGTGTGTGACACCAGCCCTAGCGTGGACAGCACCGTGTGGGTGGCTGTGTGTAACACCAGCCCTAGGGTGGACAGAACCGTGTGGGTGGCTGTGTGTAACACCAGCCCTAGCGTGGACAGCACCGTGTGGGTGGCTGTGTGTGACACCAGCCCTAGCGTGGACAGCACCGTGTGGGTGGCTGTGTGTAACACCAGTCCTAGCGTGGACAGCACCGTGTGGGTGGCTGTGTGTGACACCAGCCCTAGCGTGGACTGCACCGTGTGGGTGGCTGTGTGTAACACCAGCCCTAGCGTGGACAGCACCGTGTGGGTGGCTGTGTCTGTAACACCAGCCCTAGCGTGGACAGCACCGTGTGGGTGGTTGTGTGTGACACCAGCCCTAGCGTGGACAGCACCGTGTGGGTGGCTGTGTGTGACACCAGCCCTAGCGTGGACAGCACCGTGTGGGTGGCTGTGTGTGACACCAGCCCTAGCGGGGCTTGGAGAGCACTGGGATAGTGCGGGCACCACGCACAGCGTGTGGTGGGGGCTCCCCCCCCCTCCCCCCGAGGGGGTCAGTGTCAGCCCAGGGGCAAGGTTGCCCTGGGCCATAGCACTCTCGTTGAACCCGTAGACATGTGATCCGGAGTGTCCACACAGGGGGCCCCAGGTGGGGGGACAAGTGTGTGATCACGTGTTCGGAGGGAGCTCTAGAGAAGGATCGAGAGGGAACGAGAATGTTCGGGAAGGCGGGCGGGGCCGAGGGTGGAGCGGCCCCGACCGGAGAGGGATATAAGGTGGGTCCCTACAAGCTGGAAGCTCTGCGTCTCAAGCTGGAAGCTCTACGTCTCAAGCTGAACCCCTTCGTCTTAAGAGGCAACCACGTGGTCGAAGACCCGAGTGAGGGATCGACCCTTCGGAGCAGTAACTCCCCTGTAGTCTGGTAAAGGGGCAGTTACCCATTTGTGTTACGGTGTTACAAATACAAGTGTTGCCTCTAAAAGGAACAACATCTGCGACTCAGTTGGACCCACTACACATATATAGAAAAAGTATTTTCATTCCACAGTGATCCTTTGGAAGTGCTGAAAAGGACACTGCAATTGGGTAGGATGAAACATCTACCCACAAGTCAAGTTCACTTTTTTTAACCAGGTAATAACTGAGGAGACCAGGATAGTTGAATTTGCATTAGAGACCTGACAGTGAGGAAGAGGTTTATTGGGAGGAGGGGGCTCACATCATGTGTGCCTCTTAATGTTAATGAGCATAACATCGTTATGTCTAATAACCCTGAAATGGGCTGCTAGACCGTGTATGTGACTATTGCACACTTGGGAATTGGCAGTGTAATGACATTTTGGTTATGGATGAAATTAAATAATTTGTTATATACTTTGCCAAAACATGAAAATAAAACATAATAACCATCATTCATGTTCAATGCATTGCTGAAAAAAGGTTTGTCTACGCTGATACCAGTGTTTAACTCGCATCCACGTCAATCCAGATTCATCACTCCATCTCCTGCTTGTTTGACCCACTGTGCATGTCTTCCCATATGCCATTTTGTTACTTGCATTATTGGTCATAGTATCCATTTGTGAAATGTTCTGCCAAAACCCATTTGCTTTTTTCAATATTGAATGTGAAGTCTTCGATGCTACAATGCTCAAAATCTATGGATCCCCTTTTCTATTTCTTCGAGGAATTCAATTCTGTTGCTTTGTGTGTGCATTTCACTTGCTGTAATGTGTTTGTTGTCAATTATGTTTTTCAGCCATCTGTCATAGGTACACATTGATCATGTTTTGATATAAGTACACAATTCTGATTAAATTTCTATTTTCAAAAACACTCAAATAATTTCATCTGCACATGTATACTGTTTACAGGGACAAAACGCCATCACATTCTTTTCAAACAAATTGTTGAAGCATGCTGCCCCACGGTAATTGTTTTCAATTTTCATCATCGTTATATTAATTTTAAATTGCATCGGCATTATATTATTTTAAACTGTGCATTCATGGACTTGTTGGCTGTACGACCTCGCCTGTGCATTTGTGCATGCGCGTGTTCACCTGTGTGCGTGCGCACACATTCATGCTGTACCTGATAGAGTGTGCGCGTGGAAGCTGACGCCCTCGTGGTGGGAAGGTGGCATCAGAGACGTTCCATTGGGCATCACGTGCTGCAGGCCATGCCCACCGGGGCCTGCCACCCTCCCCCCTTGGCTGGGATAATGCCCAACGTGACCCAGGGGCCCCTGAGTCGAATAGTGGCCACGGGCGTTCTGGGATGAATAATTCCCTGGTGGCCCAGGACCTGGGTGCATTGGGTATTGGCCCTGCACACTCTGTGTGGAGTAGTGGTCCACGTGTCCCGGGGGCCAATGACGATACTGTATCTGCCCCCCCCTGGGCACATTCTGGGAGTTCTGCTTTGCATGCGCCGGGTTCCGGACAGGGCCAGTCAAACCTAACACACAAGTGAATGGAGGAAGATTTCGTAAGTACTGCTGTGGACATATATGCTGTATAAACATTTAACAATGACAACAACAATAGCACAATTTCAACATCTGTCTTCAGTAAAACCTTATCTGGGAAAAAAAAGGTCTGTGTATATTAAAGGACATTTTAAAGAGTTGCACTTTGACAAACCACAAACAGAGGGATTTTGACCAGGTGAGGTGAGCAATAAATTCAACTTTTGAAAACATGTCCTACAAATATAATTTAAATGCTAACATGAATATAGATGGAAAGTGCAACCAGACTGTAGCATAAAAAATATTGATGTTAATTTTATACATCATATTTTATTGTATCTTATTGCTTCAGTACATTAAAACAAATCCATGCTTCAGATTGTGCATAGACACGTGTGAAGAAAAATGTTATATGGGAAACGCCACTAACAATATAAGACACCTGTCCCCGTGTGAGCACAATGATGATATCACAACCAACAATTTAGATGTTTTTTCACGTCGTCCCCATCGTGAATTTGACAGTCTCGATTACTAAAATGATGGGCATAATGTTAAGAGTACCACTAACAATGACAATGTAATGGCATAAATGCAATGACTGGTGTGGCAGCCGAGAGTGAAGTGACGCAGCAACTTATGCGATTCAACGTCACAAGTGGGCGCAACGTACCGTAGTGGTGCTGGGTCCCTGGACCGTTGTTCCCTTCCCTGAGATCAGGCGTCCTCAGATTCATGGGCATGCTTGGGAAGGAAATAAGCAAAATACGCAGAAACACCGACAGATACGTGACAGAGGCAGACGAGGAACAGGAGACTTGGGCTCGCTGGAAGACGGGGCAGTAGGGGGGACAGAGCCAAAAGGTCTCGCCATGCTCAAGGCTGACATTAAACGTATCTCAGTTACACGGCTCTTTCCTCAGCACATGTAATCATGTTAGACATTAACTAAATGAAAAGAACACAAGTCATTATATTGCAAATTAAATAAGGCTAATTTATCTAATAAGGCTGTGAGATGGGGTGTGAGATGAACTAACCTAATGCATATCGAACAATGGCTTGAGTTAGTTAAAATTAAAGAATGACGTTACGATATTCCATTGTCACACAAGCCTCATTAAAAGTGGCAATACATTTACAACCACCCCCAGGGCGCTAATATCAGTCAATGATTTAACAGGCCTGTGTGATCATTTCGGGGGGAATCTTACTTTTTTTCCCAAGGCTACATTGATAACATTAAACGCAAGCAGAGAAGACACCTCTGTCTTGTTTAATGCAGGGCAAGGTAGCTATGTATGTAACTATTAGCGTGCCGGGTCTAGAGTTCCATGTCCACCATCCGAGCTCGGAAATTCTCCATCTGCAACACCTGGCCCCGTAATGCTATGTCTGAAATGTTTAGTTTAGAAAGTTAATGTGCTAAAATACAAGTTGTCAGTTCATGTAATTGTAGCACAGAAGTTTTTGTTTGGCCTCTCACGACTAATCAGAACCAAAATTAAAACACATTGGAATTTTTTTTTCAAATTTTGATCCCATCGCAAACCGGTACAGTTTAAAACCTCAATCTTATTTCCGAACATTAAACAAGGCAGTTTGTAAATTGGGCCTACTGCACGAGGACTTGGTTGCCTCGTCCACATTGTTATAAAGGCCTGTTGACCAGATACAATACAAGATCCAGTACCACTCTATAAGCATTTTATTACAGTGCAGAGAAAGAATACTAAATGCATAAATATATATGCGTGCTCTACAGGAATATACAAGAGCTTGCCTCGTGTGCTATAGGAAAACAAGTTGTTTGTATTTGCCAAGTCTGCATCCCAGTGTCCCAAAGCCTCAACACTGTCCCTAATAAGGAATCCTGTAGCACCATGCCTGTCTGGTTGACTCAGTCTCAAATGAGTACCTGGTGCAATGTGTAAATGTCGCCACTAGGGAGACAAAGGTGGCCGGGCGTGTTGCTTGCCACCCACCCCTTTGTGTGCCGTGCCGGCCTTCATCGGTGCTCGCACACAGCACTTGCCCCAGCAGTCTGTTAATGCTACCGTCGGGGGGGGGGGGGGGGGGGGGGGGGCTTTGTCTGTCCGTGTATCCGATTCTCAGCGACCGGATACAATGCTGAGTGGTGCTGTGTCTAATATGTGTTTGGAAAGAAGTATTTGCAGTGCCACGCTGGGACACATTATGCTTCCCTAGACAAACGTACAACAAGTTTAATTCATATAAACCAAATGCTCTTAACAGATTTCACTCTGCACTTCCGCACCCAAGCAGTCGCCACGAGGTGCTGTCACGGCTTCATTGGCTGACAATGCGGGGGCCGCAGCAGCTGAGCAGGCGCCGTCTACTTATCACGCACGCCAGTGCATCACTGAGCAACATAATAAAGGGTCTAAAAAAAGAAATAATCCGTTTCCTAAAATATTGGTTTGTCAACTTGTCAGTGTCGTCTGACAGTGTGTGACACAAATGAGCTTTGTTCCCTTGCTGCAAGGAGAAAAAAGCACCACTCTTAACTCAAGCCATGGGTACTCAGGAGCACAGAGAGAGCCATCTGCCGATGTACATGCGATGGACAATAAACGATGACCCCCCCCGTATAGCCTTAATAGACTGTTGGGACAAGTGCTGAAAGCATGCAGCTATGAAGGCCGGCACGGTACACAAGAGGGCGGATGGCCAAATACCACGCACGTCTGCTTTTGTCTCTCTAGTGGCGATGTTTACACACCGCACCAGGTACTCATTTGAGGCGGAGTCGACCTAGAGGAGGCCCAGGACCAGTTCAGATAATCGTCACTGGTGTTGCCCATGACCGGGAAGCGAACTCAGGTTACCAGTTTTGTTTTCCAGCGCGCTAACCGCTACACTACCGCTCCCCACAATTAACAAAAAAGCTGCACACATGCACACAACTTGCATGTGACATACAGTTAGCCTATGTGCAACTAACATGTGATATAAATTTAACACGCATGTCACATGCATGATACCTCTCAGAAATATACATGGCATGCACATGCACACAAAGCATGATCATTTTAATCCTAAAGAAGTTTAACATGTAAAAATGTATTCAAGAGTATCGGTACACCAAATGACATCTCACCCACACGGGATGCACAATGCGAGATGAAATAAATATACACACCCGCATGTCTGGCCAGAAACACAATCATAAAATGACAGACAACAAACAAACATAATGGACATGCATATTCATAAACAAAAATAAAGATCCCCTATATAACCTACACGGACATTTGGGTGAAGCGCGGTTAGCAAGCACCTATGAAAGCTGGCACGGGGTATAAGGGGGTGTATGGCCAGCAATATGCCCGGCTGCCTTTGTCTCCCAAGTGGTGATGTTTACACTTTAATTTCAGGCCGAGTCTACCGAGAGGAGACCTAGGATCGGTTAAGATATTCATCACCGATGTTGGTCACATGATCGGGAAACCAATTCGGGACAATGGATTCATAGCACAGCAAGCCAATCATTGCGCCATGACTCACCATATTTTATATACATGCCCACACACATGCAATAAACCCACAAAAACACATACTGTGGCAAAAGCGCACGCATCAGTTACATAAACTAAACACCCTCAGCTTCCTGAGGCATCGGCTCTAATCTAAACATTTGATATATATAATGTTCTGCACCTTAATGCGTGGTCAAGCCACACAGTCAAAACATGCAGATTATGTGATTTAAGGATTGCTGGCCTCATGATACTGTTCCTTACAATGCAACTCCATGTCTGCCTGTCAACGTGTGAACGTATTGTTATTTGAGTCCACTTCTGGTTTTTTTTTACCCAATTTTCCCCTCAAGAGGGAGATATGGCAGATTGATAAATCTATCGTCGCATCATAAACAAAGCAATTGGCCAACAGTACAAGTGTCACAATTTTTACGGGACCTAAACACACACCTGTGGCATGGCCTGATGCGTACAGCAGGGAGACTTGACAAAGACGATGCAAGGGCAACATGTTTCAAAAGAGATGTGCTTTACAGGAATTCATGTCCTCCCTCTCCGATGCAAAATGTTTGGCAGGCTAAAAATCACAATGATATGTGTTGTGCCACATTTTAGGGCCTGCCAGACCCCAACACATGTGTTATGCCCGTCGCCTGCTCACGTATAAAGTGTTATAAGGTGCAGCCTAGCGACTGTTTTCTCACAACACTGCTTGGCAGGAGGACCTCCACTCGAGGGAGTTCTACAGAGCCCCCCCCACCCCCTCTTGAGGGTACCCTTCCACCCTGGCCAGACGTCTTGAAAGAGTTTTGAAAACCCACACTTCACCGTATAATACTGTCTATACCCGTGAACACAGCTGGGTGACAGAGGTTGGGGGAATTTTAAGAAACTTGCTTTCTTTTTTTTTTCACTGCTGCACCCACAGAGTGGACCTGCAATCTCTGGATTCCAAGTCCAGTGTGTTAACCACAAGACCGCGACAGAATTACCCACCAACGTACGACGTGCTATATCGTCCACCTTCAAAACGTTATTTATCATCTCAAAAGGGTGATTAACCGATTATATATATAAAGGACATCAATGCATTAATTAATATGGAGAACCATGCCAAGGCTGCAGAGCAGGTTATGTGCCCGTGTGCATTGATGAGCATCGCTTTGCGTCACGCCATGGGAAACTTGCTCATACCTCTGCCCAGTGGGCAATGCTCCGTGTGCCGTCTGGGCATCTGGCTGCCAGGCCTGGGCCACCGATGAGGCAAACTGTGGAGAACGTTCGCGACATTGACAAGAGGCGAGCGAGGGGTGGTTGGGCAGAGAGACAAATGCGTTAAGGTTACGGAAAAAAGTCTTCGCTCTTAAAAGGTAACAGGTACCATGAATGTTTGGTAGTTTTGATGTATGCAAGTTAAAAGATGTTTTAATAATGGATTTGAAGTCAATTATGCATAATACCTTCCCCCATTGGCAATGTAGCAATTAATAAGTCATGCAGCACTGAACACACCTGGCATTCTGCATGAATACCACTGTCATTATGTACTCACCAATACTAATCCACACACAGAGGCAATAATTGTGTAAACTTACAAATGAGCAAATAGGCACAAATGGACACACAAACACAATATTTGCGTGCAAAACACAAACACACGTACTTGTTCACACAAAGGCAAGGATTCAACAGTGATACACATTCAAAATATCCACTGTGGGTGAAAATAAACCCTGCTCATACCTGGCAGCAAATCAATGTGCAATGAGTTACAGGGGATTCTATAAAACATGTGTTGCCTCCACAAACTCATGAACCCAGTGACCTTCGCCGAATCTAGCCCCTCCTATATCCCTTTCCACCATTCCCTGTCACGGCACTATGGACAAATGGCATGCCCACCAGTCATGGTTAAACCAGTTTTGTTGTCTCTCTTCAAATCTCTACACCCTTTTCGATTTACATATCTACCTATTACTTCATCTCTCTCACATAGCCCGATCCCTCTCTGAATACTATACACCCTGATTACCAGCATGAGGGCATCTACTTTCTCTTTTGGCCGCAATACATCCGTAATATAATCCAAACTATTCAACCATTTTTATTTTAAAGGTAAGGTCCACTGAGCTATATAGCTCTTTTTCAGAAGTGACCTGGCCAGAAATGATAGCTTATTAGATAGTGGCTTATTACGTGGAAATTTATAGCAGCCAAATACTCTAAACGAGTGTTTCTAAATGTGGAGGAAAAAACCTGGAGTACCCCGAGAAAAATCCACGCGACCCCAGGGAGAACATACCAACTGCAATTATATAGGTGTCAGGGTCGGCATCGAACCCATGACCACCTGTATAGCAGGCGAGGTAGTTATTTCCCGTTCCGAGATGTCTGCAAGTTGCAGAGTAGAGAATCTCGGAACGCGCAAGCAGTTAGCCGTAATTTTATTTTGAGAAGCATAGCGCCGCTATTTTTAAAGACATTGTACTCACTGCAGAGAACTGTAGCAACACAACCGCACTCAACGATAGCTCGTGCCAAACTGTGCCTCTCACATGACCTTTTGGGGAGCCTCGGTACGTCTTCTGACCTCAAGACGTAACGATTCCCTTCCGATTGGAATGGGAAAGGGTTAACATCTTGTCAACGTGGTGCTCCCATGATGCATTTTCCACTCTTCCCTCAAGACGGGCCCACCCCGAAGTAATGGAGGCTACCATTATGGCTGCCATGAACTCGTACTGACAAGACATCAAAGTGAGTAGAATGAGGAGCCCATGGATACATAAGGGAGGTGGATGCAAAGGCGTCTGATGGAGTCACACTTGGACTCCGTTGCAGAGTTGACGTGGGCTGTAATTTGGATGGTACATGCACTGGTGCAATCGAAATGACAACATTATTGTTGCAAAAGGAGATGTAGCCCCTGATGACTAATTGTCGTCTAATTATCTTCAACCACCATGCAATGTGAGTCAGGAGGGACCAAATGGCTATGTACATGCACACCACACAAATACACAAACGGTTGTATGTGTAATCACCTGTGCAGATGTGAGAACACTACAACTGGGGTCTGTTAGCACCATCATAGAGCGTACACTCAAATATTAACTTGGTCAACAGAACCAATTTGTTTAAAACTAATATCCATAATTTGTTTAAATTCAATGCTGTTTTGCGCAATGTGTTATTTGCATATATGCACTTAAAAATACATTTTAGAATTAAGTTTACAAGTTACATTATTCTAATTTGTATTTAAGTGTGCATATGTATAGGTCATTAAGATTGTTGTGGATGCATCCACACGTTATATAAACAGCTTTTAATACACAACTGAGATTAAATAAGCATGCTTGCATTTATAATAGTGACAGGTGGAAATATCAACGGCGATTTTTACACCGCTGGGTGAGCGAATATATTAGCAGGCCAGTATTATTGTAATAACAGTCATGAGAGATTCAAGTGGTGTATCTGCACGAGGCAAGATATATACAGGGCATCTATTGGAACCAAGCTAAGAGACACAAGAATCAGGACAGTTTGTTATGGTGTGAAGAGATATGATGTAACATTACTGCCTTAAAACTGTGATTACTGTTCCCGCTGTATCAGCCTATCCAAAAGCACAGTGACCCAAAACTATCTCAAGAGGCTTAGTCACTGAAACAAAGCCATGCAGACCCTGGCGAAACACACATTTCATGTGACGCAGTTGCGATTCAACAATATTAGCCAAGCTTGTGTCAGGACAACCAGCCACACATTCTCCACAAGAAACACGTCTCAGCAGCGCACCCTGAAAATAACATAAAAAAATCTATAAAATATTACTATCTGACACGGTGATGTGAAAAGAGGAAGCGCGTGATTTATATGTATTATTACTGACAGTGCATTGTGTGGTTTCTGTGACGTTCGGGTCTAGAAGGCTCACTCCTGTGTTCACATCACTGCAACTAATCCATTATATGCAAAGCCATATTCAGGGGGAGGATTAAACAATTATGTATGACGGTATTCAAAAGCGGCATTTTTACAGCAAGTCACAATTATTGCAACATTTTAAGCAAAACCTTAGGGAAAGGGTGAATTAATCCACGGTGTTGAGCAGTTTCATATTCGCATTTATACGCAGGTTCATAAGTATGCAGTTGGGAACGAGAGTGCGACTGGAGTCGAGGTAGGGGGGCGCGCGCACACACAAACCTGCCTATATTTTATTATTTTTCAAAAGATATCTCAGCCACAGGAAAATTACAATCATTATCAGTCTGAAGTGCACAGATGCCTTTGCACACTATACATGCATTCCACTATGTACGATACAGCCGTAGTGATCAGTATAGAGTTAAGTGACCTATACGATGTATAAAGGCAAGTCAACGCTCACCACTGCATACAAGGCTCCACGTGCAATTATTTCACTATTTCGTATTGATGAGGGCTTGGAGGAATTGGAGATACCTACATTTCATTCCACCACAAATTAAGTCAGTGTATATATATATACTGCTGGGCAAACAAAGCAGCTGTGAGATGAGCTGAATGTGGATATAGGAAGCTCCAATGGTTAAGTGACGAAGTATTAAATACAATCAGCCAGAAGTAGACAGAAAATTACAGCTTTTCATGGTGATGCATAATCCATGTGTGATTGGTGCAAGAACCGCTGTCACGCATTGGTAAACGTCTTACACGGCAAGCTATAAATCATGCACGGCTTGTAGCACCAGTGATAGCTCAGACAGTGGAAAGACTTGTATCCCACGACACTGCTGAGGGAGGTCTTGCATGTGTTCTCGTCCACAGAGCAAAGAACGTGCAATGCAACATGTAAAATACACCTGGCATGAGGGGGGTCCCGTTTGTGAGTGAAGTGTGCAATCACCTGCTTGTGCGAGCACTGCGCTCCCATGGATCCTAAGGGTACCGCTGTGTTGCACATGGCTGCAGAAACAATACACGCGCACACTAGCATTAAAACACACACACACACACTTCAAGACCATTCCCTGAAACATTACACGGCCCTTTTTCATATAGCAACCAAAAAAAACCCCCAGAATGATAATTGTGCCTAGGAAGCAGCGCGTTAGGATTTATTGTGTGTGCAAGTGTGCATGTGAGCCACACGGGAAATGTGACCGATTCTCGGCTCGCGATGCGGCGAGCTAAAAATAGCATCACCTCCCTTGGGAGAACATGTGCAATCGCGCAGACGCATGAGGACGTGCAGACGCACGCGTGTACAAAGGCACTTGCATGCACGTAGGCTCTCACACACAAATGTACCTGCGAGGTTGGCTACGCACCGTGCGAAAGAAGTTCGACATACATACTTTACACACAAGCATGTGGCACATGCATATAAACAATGTACAGCACACCTTTACAATATGAACGAAATAAACACGCACACACTTGCATAAATACACATCTTTGTCAGATACACAGAGCAATACCTACACCAGCTTGAGAACAAAACAGAATCTATATCCAGACTTGAAACATGTACTCTCAAGAATGGCAGTCATTTTCAGTCACAAAAGCATGATAACAACAGCACACAGATACCCAGGCAAACGAGTTATAACTTCCATCGAAAAGGTTGTAAATAAAAGCTGTGATATTTTACATGTCAGGGTACACGGTTCAACTTACTACAGCCCATGTTACAAAGCGTATCCTAGTAATCCAAATACACATCAATATAATTATCACCAATATTATCTGATATTCATGAGGTATTGCCATTGGTGACCATCTATTATGGCCAGTAATAAACACAAGGATATGGTTAGAAAGTATTATGCCATGGTTAGAAAGCACTGTTTCTCCACTGCTGTGTTTTAGGCTTAGTCGATGAAGGGGAAGCTTATGCTTAATGCAGATTCCAATCGTGCAGTTGAAATACTATAATAATGTCATGTACTGACACCCTGCTGCCACCTGCTTCGATGGAGACACAAAACAAAGACAAAGATCCCCCGTATAGCCTTAAGACTGTTGGGGCAAGTACTGTTAGCGAGCACCTTTGTTGAAGGCTGGCACGGTACACGAGGGGGTGGGTGGCCAGCACCATGCCCGACCACCTTTGTCTCCCGAGTGGCGATGTTTACACACCGCACTAGGTACTCATTTGAGGTGAGGTCGACCTAGGGGAGGCCCAGGAGCGGTTCAGATAATCGTCACCGGTGTTGGTGGCCGTGAGCGGAAATCGAACTCGGGTTTCTGGGTTCGTACCGCGGCCGTGCTAACCGCCACACTACCACTCCCCACTAGACACATGCACACACACACTCGAAATGCATGCACAGTGCATGGAGTGCAGCTAAAGCACACACTCACTGTGACATACACAGGGAAAACTTGCATACATTACCCCCACTGCCCCCTAATTCACCAGCCTTCTGTGACTGCGCTTTGTGAAGCTTGACAGCTTCCTGACTGCTGCATTAAGCAGGCAGGTTTATTTAACATATAGAAATGTGATATTTCAATGTGCATAATTTCCCATTCAACTGTATGTACATACATATGCACGTACACAGAAATATTACTTAAACCATTGCTTCTGTATCACAGCATTTATCTAGAGGGGCTGGCAATTACGGCATACTTAAGGATATCATGCAATAAAAATGTAGTACTTTTTGTGTATTCATTTTCAATATGTAGCCTTTAATAATATATTTACAAAAAAAATAGTGAATAGTGCATATAGGTCACACCAGGCAAAGGTTCCATTCAATCAGCTATCCCACACACCCCAGTCTGCCTGCCAGCCACGTTGTCTGCCTTAAGAGGCCAACAATTGCTTAACCGCATCTTCCGCCGATTGCGTCTCTGCTATCCTCATAGGCACTTGCCGAGCTCCGCATCGCCTCGCCACCCGTGCTCCTGGCCGATCCCACCAAATCCGGGGCCCCCGCTGAATTTTGCTGGCTGCACCTCACTTCTACAGTCACCTCATTGAGGCTGCGACTCACACGATGGCCAGGTTACTGGTGGGTTTAGCCAGGCTTTTCAGCAAGCCAATTCAACTCTGTATTGTTTAGAGTCTGCGGAGCAAGCACGGCAGAGGGGGGGGGGAGGCATTTCCTGCGTATTGGTGAAGATCCGATACTGAAGGTTTCCTGTGTGTCAGGACGCTGGTATTTAACTCCTGAACGTATTTGCCATACGCAGTAAGGGAACTATGTCTGGGGGTGGAATTGCTCCTTGCTCACCTTGCATAGCAATGCTTTCTATTCTAAAGTATTGTTTTAACCAGGGGTCCAAACAAAGACGAGGGAGGCTATGGTCATCAAAATGGGCGAATGTAACGGGGCGCTGTATTAGAGTTAGTAATTGTGACGAGGTATGTGAAACACTACGATGTTAAGTTTTAGGGGCCTATAAAAGAAGATTTTGGTGATTAGTAATTTAATAAGAAAAATATGGAATTAACTTCAGTACAGGTGAAAAAATTATATATATGGTGTATTGTGATTAAATGTCTGAGATTGACAAGAAAAATGTACCAGGGTTGACTTTAAAATGTCTGATGTTACAGCAGCTGCTTTGCTTTGTCACAAAAAGGTATGCATTTAGCCTTGAATGAACTCAGCAGCATAAATAAATCACGAAGATGAACTGATATAAACCAATACAGATAACCCTAGGTAGGGATGTATATTAAACAGAAACCTAGCCCCAGCATATTTTGGGAACTTGCTTCATGTCAAAATTGAAAACATTAAACCACAATGAATTTAACTCGATACAAATTAAATCAAAATACTGCTCGACTATGATAATGAAAACAGTCACAATGACTAATGTAAGGCTTTTAATGGAGGCTTTTTTCCCTTATGAGCAACGATGTCAGACGGGAATGCGCTGAAAATAAAGTGATAAATCCAACTGTGTGTGTATTTTTAATATCCCGTTCTTCAACAATAACTTCATAGCAAAATCTAATTCAATTTTATTTCCCAACAATCATTAATATCCTAACACTCTCTCCTCTTCGCCATTCTCACTGGATGTAGAGAACACGAATCGTGAGATTCAACCCCAAGGCGGTGGCAATGAAGCATTCACCAGCACCATTTGTGCCAGAGTTCCCTGCGTCAGTGAGAGCCAGCCATTCCATTCATCCCATATTCGTTTGATACAAACGTTTGGCTTCCAGCACCATGAGTTCATTGCTATTTACGCAGCTAGAAGCGCTTTGATGTTCGCCATCTCATTTACAAAGGAAAACTGGACAATATTAATTTTAAAACTTATAATATGGCCACTGACCAAACATGTAGACTCGCATATACAAACACCTCTGGGCAGCAGTGGCAAATGAAATCTGAATTGGTCCTGACCTAGCCCACTTCACTAATCTGCACTAAACAGCATGGCGAGATATGTTCCAATCACCCCCACGAATGACACAGCTTGGGAAGGCCTTCATCCAGCGGTGGATTGAAAAAGGGGTGTAGTTTATATTTTAGTCAGATCTGATTCTAAAATCCTGTGCCAACTAGCTCAATGATGAGCTTGCTGATGACTAGTTTATCTGTAAGTGGCATAAATGGAAAGATCAGCCACTAATTAAGTCGAAGGCATTGAACCAGGTATTTGTTAAATCAGATGGCAAATGGAATCAGGTGCATGTACAACACGTTTACAAGGGTAAGATCCATATGCATTCTCACGTACATGAAAACACAGCATTAACATAAACCATTCATGTATGCAAGCTGCACATATTGGGATATATTTGGCAAATAAGATGCTAGTTACATTACTGGATAAAGCATAGTGGATGTTTCATTCAGAACAAGAGTCAACCACATGACTGAATAGGATGGCTGCTGTGTAGAAATGAAATCCTGTAAATGTGCATTATGGGTTCGGAGACAATATATAAACACAGCAGTAAAGAACTTGGTGTCTCACCTTGGTATGGGTTTGGCTGGGGGCCTCTCCACTGCTGGTTGTGATGCTGATGGGGCATGGTGGCACTGGAGCTGCTTGTAGGAGTGTGTTGGAGCCCCATGTACTGTTGCTCACGTAAGCCCTGGGTACCATCCACATCCCTGAAGGACTGGCTCTGTTAAAATATACACGGAGATATGATCAGCTTAACACCCATGAATGAATAACTTACCTTCAACTAGTCTTGAGCCGGCTGATATACAGTCTCTTTTGCAAAAGATACAGGTTATATTTATTACGCTTGTTTACCCAAAAAAATCCCCCATGAGTTGCACCATTCATTTTAGGAGGGTCCTGCCAGGTAACTGCATGAGGTTTAAGATCACAATTTTCAATATTAAGACCACAATTGGAACAGATTATTCTCGCACATGTACGAGCATGTTAGAGTTCTTATTGACGAAAAAAATTAGATCACTAAACCAAATTAGCGAAGCATATTTCACACACCAAAGGCGTGCATTTTTCTTACACAAATTGTGAAAGCATAATACACCGTGATAATTTTAATCATTTAAGTGCGCAAAATTAGCGATATTTTACAAACACCTGTGGACAGCAGATGTAATCTATCACAGGGACAGATCAAACATGTAAATTATAAAAATGTATTCATGGGGTGTACGTGGTGCATTTATTCGGAATGGAAGATGCATTAGGGAAGATAAGTCTTTACACATCTAAGATTCTCAATACACATGTGGGGGATACCGTTGCCCATCTCTCACTGCCCCACAAATCCCTTACAACTCCCTCCTAAAAAAAATCTTCAACTAGAGAAGAACCTGGACTCAGCCCTTATCTCCACGAAGTGGTATTTATGGTCTGTATCTGCGGATTAGCAGTGTACAACCCTCCATTCCCACCACGATTCTAGAATTTCCTCCTGGGATTTCAGAAATTCCTGGGAAGGAAGTGCAGAAGAAGTATGCTCTGGAGCAGGGGTGGGCAAATTTTTTGACTCGCGGGCCACAATGGGTTATAAAATTTGACAGAGGGGCCGGGCCAGGAACAGATGGATGGAGTGTTTGTGTGAACTAATATAAATGACATGTAAAAATCATTACATGAAAGGATTTGGCCTTTAACAGGTAGCAAAGCATTTATTTGCAAGGCAATTTAACAAATTGCACGAACATGAACAATACAAAAACATATTCTTAGTTTTTTCGGTAAAGTCACGTTGAAGAGAAACAACAAAATAACAAAATTATATAAAACAATAAAAAATTCTCACGACGTTTCGACCATAACTCAAACGGTCATCATGGTCGAAACGTCGTGAGAATTTTTTATTGTTTTATATATATTTTGTTATTTTGTTGTTTCTCTTCAACGTGACTTTACCGAAAAAACTAAGAATATGAATTACTGCAGTCACGAAAGCTTTAAATCAAAATACAAAAACATGTCGTAACTTCCGGTCAAAGTGCGCCATCTAATGGGGAAATGGGGGCATTACAGGAGAAAGGTAAAATGTAATTTAATTTAATAATATTTGGACAAGTTCGGCGGGCCGGATTAAAAAGCCCAACGGGCCGTACTTTGCCCATGTCTGCTCTGGAGTAATAAGGGAGCACCTTTGGGACAAATCCACAAATTCCTGCAGGAGCCACAAAGTCACGAAGCCTGACTGCATTATAGCTCAAATCGTAAGCATAGTAGGCACAGGTCGATATTCTAATGGGTGCCCACTCAGCATATACCAGGTTTCTTGAGGTAAATTGCAACACATGCTGGTCTTCAGTTATGTGGTACAGATCGTCCTGATGAAGATGATGTTGTTTTATGAGAAACTAGCTGTACTAGCCGGCTTCGCCCGGGACTTGGATTCACCACACCCGGCCGCCTTTGTCTCCCCAGTGGCGATGTTCACACAGCAGAGCAGTTACTCGTTTGATGCTGAGTCGACCTAGAGGAGGCCCAGGACCGGTAATAATAATCGTCACAGGTGGTGGCCGTGAGAGGAACTCGAACTCGGGTCGCCGGGTTCGTAGCGCGGCGCGCTAACCGCTACACTACAATGCGTTACGCTTCCACATGCGCGGGTCACATGAAAGATTTGACGTCACGGCTCACTTGCCGTGCAAAAAAATATGCATTATTGAGCTCCCCCCATCCCCCCCACAAAAAAAACAAAAGTGTATTTTTATAATTTTTGCATGGTGTACAGTCTGGAAAGTACCCACATGGCAAATTTCAAGTTTGTTGCATGTCGGAAAGTACGTTGAACATTTTGAACACACATTCACAACTTTGCCTTTTATATATATGGAGATTAGAGTTCCTGTCTTGTTCCAAATTTAAATACTTGTGTTGCTTGAATAAAGACCTGGGACATTAGCCCTTGTGCTCTGTCTGCAATATTAAGACAGGCACTGTATTGATGCACGTTTGTATTGGAATGACGATGCTGATTTTTATGTATGCAACACCAGCATGAGATTAATAAATGTACCTGCTGTTGCTGGAGAGCTCGGTTGCCAGTAGATGTATGGCCACGGTTCCCATGGCCTGCATGCCCCCCATGCATCTGCGTGCTCCGAGGGGGCCCAGAAGCCTGGTTGTTGTTGTTACGCCCCCACGACGGAGGGCCGTGCTGCGGACTCTGGCCGCACGGGAGCTCGGCGTGGCCGGGTGACGGCACGCCCCCGGCAGGCAGGAAGGGCGACCTCTGCAAGGCCCAGTGGTTAAGGAGAGCCTGCTGAGAAGGTGGGCCGGCAGGGTAGCACACACCTGCACTGGGCTGGGTCTGTCCTGAAAACCTGGGATCCCCGCGCATGTGAACCATCCGGCCCCCATCCTGAAAAGGCACGCATCACAGGCATGCGTGAGCATTCTCTTACACACTGTCATGGGACAGAAGACCATTGAGGTTCATTCATTTACACGCTTGTTTGGACCAAGCTAAGGTTTTGTATTATCTACGTTAAATTCGGCTTAAAGAAATGACATAAAAAAAGCTGTGGGGGTCATACAATCATCCAATTAGCTGCATACGACAATAACACCGTACACAACAGAGATTGGCCAACCAGGCAGATTAATCTGAACATTAATTCAATTCTGATTTATTCACAGCTAGTACACATTAAATTACACACAGCAACACCTTATATAAATGTTACGATTCACCGTGGAGTTCATCTACAACTCGTGTGTTTATGTATGTCATACCAATAACATCACACCCTTTATTTATACTGGATAAATCAAAAGAAAGTACACATTTAAAATTGGTAATACATTCAAATTCGACAATATTCTAAATACAACATATGTAACCCATTTATCAGACACATTCACATATACATGCATAATACACATTCACATGCATACCCACAATGTGAGCATTTATAGTCTGAAATTTTTTTCAACCACCTCTGCTTTTAACTTTGAATATCAACACCACAATGTGCGATTGAAAAAAAATATCAACACTGTTTGCACAGGCAGAAACATGTCTTTACAATGGTTTCAATAAGGAAACAATGTACTAATGAGTAAAGATTCACAGATATGCAATATATAAATAAGGCAAAGCATGGAGTGTAACATCATAACAACGCAGTCAGGATTGTGTGATGAATGAAGTATCTTCAGGGTAAAGTTATAATAGCAATGGTGTATATTTACAAAACAACTTCGAAATAATGCTAATGTAACAGCGCACCATTTTAAGAAGGAAAATGACTGCAAGGGTAGCGTTGCAATAGTGATGTAAAAATGTACCACAACAATGCTGCACAGAATTGCAATGGCACTAAATTATTTGGTGATAACAGTTTAAAAAAAATATGAAGTTGCAATAATGTAGGATTGGAATACCATAAGGCAATAAGTGTAGCATTGCAATAATGCAGCAACGTATATTTAACGGTTTCCAATTATGCTCCAGTGCAGTGCTTCAGGAGCAAGCAGAGATGATAATCAAAGAGGGGATAATAGCAGAGAAGAGGGGGGGGGCAGACGAGAGGGAGGAGGATAAGGTAGAGATCATAAGACAGGAAATGGGTAGGTAATAGAAAAAATGAGCTGATGGGGAAAAGCCAAAATGAGAGAGACAGTGAGATGGAGAATGAGAAGCGTGGTATACTCAAAATTCAATTAAGCGAGGACAACTGTGAAAGACAAAGAAGGGAGAATGAAGAGGTTGGAAAATGTATTCGGTCACTTGGGAAGACAGACATGATGCAGTGGGTGGAAAGTATGTAAACAGAAGGAATGAGATGGGCAAAATTAGAGGGAATACTAAACCGAAAGGGGAATTAATAGAGGGCCACTAAGAAAGAGGGAATGAACAAAGAGAAGGCATAGGATGAGAGCAGGGCAGAGAAAATGCATTATTTATGAACAGTAATTCTCACTGATAACTGTCAAATGAGATCACATGGCGACTGCACAAACCCCCAGCCCCCCGGGCTCACCGTGACGCACATCCACACATGGGCTGTGACGCACCCACTAGTGAGCCAAGGGGCACACAGTATGGAGCACGCACGCGCACACATATAGGCGCTCAAAGAGACACGTAATTGCACAGAGGCTGTGGGACCAGCAGAATAGGACACACATTTTGATGAGCTTTTAGAATGTTTCTCATTGCAGTTGTTCACCTAGCTCAACAAATAACAAATGTTCAATTGATATGCACCATAATCAGCCACAATCTATCTTTTGCCGAAAGCCTCCAAAAGCCGTTGCCATCACTCACAATCTCACGTTTGGACGTATTCGTGGCCATGTGCCCTCCTCCGGCTGCCGCTTCGTCATGAGTCTCAACCACCAGCCACCATCTCTTAAAGCAATGTGTTCTGCCCAAACTAACTTAAGTCAAAATGATGTATCTAACATATGCGTATTCTCTGAGCCAAGTGCTCCAGTCTGACTCTCAGTCTAACTCCAAGCAAGCACCTTATCATGCTGCCATGTACACTTTTTAGCTGTCCCTTTGACAATGTCTATGTTATTATTCCATACACTATCCAAACACATTTACAGACGTGATTTAATTTACATATGAAATTATTTTCAACTCAAACGTGTCCTTTATACATACTTTCATGTTAGTCACATTCTTAATGTCTGCTCTACTCTGTCTGGGCAACGTTCATTGACAAGATACCTAATAATGCACCACGGTTGGCTATGTACGGTGAGAAAGAACTTCAACATACATACACTTTTGTAGCAATGTATTGCATAATATTTATTTACTAACATGGTCTAAAAATTAAGGCTGGAACTATGCATTCATGCATGCGTGAGAATCAATTCTTCATCCCAAACCAAACAGCTTGCCAAAGAATAAAATCATTCAATAAGGCAAATAATATGCAAATGATATTGTAATATTATGGTAATTTATGAATGACAACATATTTACGTGAATAAAAGAAAAAACTCTCGAACTGGAAGTGCAAAATAAAATACAATTTGAGAAAGATGGTCTAAAATGCATGGTAGTGCACAAAACCGTAAAAAGACAAACAATTGAGAACTACAAGATTTAACGAGAAATTACAAAAAAACAGACCTCTATGTAAAGAGAATTCTGGAGGCCCAAGTGCAGTGAGAATTTGTATACGTTCACGGCATTTTATTGCCACCAAATTCAAGCAGGAATTGGTCAATTTTGCATCGTCCATTTACATTAACAGTATCTTGACTTAAAGCTTCCGTGACTGCAGGAATACATATTCTTTGGGTCTTTCGGTGGAGCCACGTAGATGGAAAAATAATAAAAATATCACCACGTTTCGATCGCAACACAAACAATCACCTGAAGACGCTTGCTTGTGTTGCGATCGAAACGTCGTGATATTTTTATTATTTCTCTATCTTACCGAAAGACCCATAGAATATTAACAGTATCATTTAAAAAAATCTACAAATTCACAATCACTGACTATAATGCGAAAACCTCTGATTCAAGTATCGAATCGACGCACATTAATGATGCGATTCATTGAATCACGAGGGAGTTGAATTTGTACGACCCTACTTAAGAATGGATGGGCATTGTTGGCATCTTAACTTTAGCTCAGACAGTTGGGAATATCAATTAGCTGGCACACATTGTATGTATTAAACTGATAACATTTACACCAAGTGAATTATAATTATAAAGTCTTTATTCAAGTGGAGGGAAGAAAATTGTGTATAATTAACTGCAAAGAGTAATTTACGGTCACATGAGAGTACTCATAAGAAACCTGATGAGGTAGCATTGATAGGCATGGCCATTTTCAAGCTTAGCTTTTAAGGGAAATTACATACTATAGCAATTGCATTGAGGCAATGGGTTAGGCAAGTTGTGAAAATATGCTCATATACTCACGATGCAGATAGGTTAAGGTCGTTATGGTTTAATTATAGAGCAGGATCCGATTTTACACTGCATGCCAATCTGCCAACACAGTCTCCACAACCACACCTGTGTAAGTGCAGGTCCCCGGGGCATCTGGGACTGGCAGTTGACCAACGTGGAGCACCGACTTTCACCAAAATGCACGGCTGTCTCGGCAACATTCATCTGCGCTGCAGCTGTAATTTAAAGAAACATAATACATTTTTTATTAAATCACAACATAGCGAGGATTTTTTACAACTATCCATAAATCATCCTCCTTTTAGAATATGCCGCTGAAGACAATGATGGTAATGCTAGTTTTGGTTGACTCTTTCCTTTTATTCAAAGATGTAAATGCCTTCACAGCTGGAGGGTGAACAGCCAAGGGAAATCATGTCAACAATAATAAAGATGTGCTGTCAACTAATGGGATTATTTAAATCCTGCATACCCCCACCTGTAAGACTATTTACAAGCTTCTACGCCAAGAGACATAAAAACAACCATTATAATTTACAGCCTTTTGTAAATCCGCTGCTGGATGAAGGCACTCCAATGCCACGTCAGTAATTGGGGTTATTTGACCATATTAGACCATGTTAGCTGCATAGCTGGGACTCAAACTCACATCGCAGTACACTTCCACTGTTCCAGTGCTCTACAGGGAAGAAGTCCAATATGTATATAAAACACAAAGTCCTTTATTGTGGTAAATACAATATCAAAGTAAAATAAACTTACTTTGTGGCAGCCAATAATTATGCTGATTTAAATGGTGGGACCAATGCAGCTATTTAAAAACGTGCATCTCCTGTGAGTCACAGCAGGAGATCAGCAGTGCCAATTTGGCCCATTTCATAGCAACACAATTATATTAAATCTTGACTTAAAGCTTTCGTGACTGCAGGAATTCATACTCTTTGGGTCTTTCGGTAAAGTCACGTAGATAGAAAAATTGCAGTTCACCTGCTGTATTTTTTCACCCGAAGACAATTGCTTGTGTTGCGATCGAAAAGTCGCGATTTTTTATTATTTTTCTATCTACGTGACTTTACCGAAAGACCCAAAGAGTACAATTATATTAATCGTACAATAACTTTTCACCAAAATGTATTTGTTTTTTAAAAGCAATTTTACCGATTAGTGGCATTAAACCAAGAGAAAAGTGCAGAGCGGAACCACGCCACGATGGCTCGCCGAGTCACAGCGTCGTGCGACACCGCAGACCAAGTCTGGCCAAGGCTTGCAAAAATAATTTGTGGATCTGGTTCAATACACGCCTCCAGACTGGTACTGCTCTTCCATGCCAGCTTGACAGCTTAGGGTTTCACTGAAAATGTTATGTCTGTTCCCACATCCACCAGAAGAACGTGAATAAGGACAAATGCAGGTTATACATGTATTACAGTTACGCACGAGTCGATTAATTACACACTGTTTTTTGACATGCTAATACCACAACAATTTACATGTAAATGTTTAAGGGAGATGAGTGCAAAAAAAACTGATTTAAATATTTATAATTCATATTGCAGGGTCTAAGAAAAAATTACTGAAAATGTTAAATCCTCAATTTGCTCAATAGACATACAAAAACTATTATCAAAAGTTCTAAATAATTAAAACCCTCTTATAATTTGAGCCTGGGCACTGCATTTTAGATTTTTTTTAAATAGTATTTTTTTCCCCCTGAATCCAGAGTTTTCCAGTTTCAATATATTTGTAACTGGATGATTATACGCTGTGAACACGTCAAACAAGCACACAATCTAATAAAACCGTGTGGACGTAAATCTCCTGCAGCATTAAATCACATAAAGGGCCACATTGTGCCTCTCAAATGCATAGTCAGGTTGAGAGCATTACCCTGCACCTGCAAAATTGCCAGAATGTACTTTCACAAATGATCACCAGGGAAACATGCTTATGTGGAGAGGTGGGGGAGGGGCGCCTTTCTAGGCTACATGCTGACAAATGCAATACTTTGCATATGAAAAATCTACAAGTATTCATATGAGCATTCTGTACCGTCACAGGACACACATGAAAGAGAGTAAAACAGCTTAATAGGGCCCCTCCTTCTGAAACAAATCATACATATATTTGTCTTGAAACCAAATTATCCAATGCCAAATTACAATAATCTATTTAATAAGGAGAGTTTCACCAAGTCTCGCGACTCTTTTCTCATCAGAGTTCAGCATCGGCACATTTGGCCAATTCCAAAAATGAGTGTTTGGAATGTTTGAGGAAACCGGAGAAACAGGTTAAAACCAACGCAATTACTGAGGGTAAAGATTAACACTGCTGTCTCTTGCCACCTCGAGTGCCACGGTGTTCACCCATCTCTATTTTGCTTCAGATATCTAATACGATTAGGCATATTTACGGTTATTTTTTTACAAGGGAAATTCCATCATTTACAAATTCTACTTACAAGTCCAATTCAACCCATAATTAAATGTTATATCTACGAATGAAATTTTGAGCTGCTCAGTTTTAAATCAAACAATCTATTGAAAATGCTCCATAATAACTGTCCTTGAACTGTCACAATTAATGAAACACATTTTATGTTGGCAGCCACAGAAAATCAAAACAAACTACAGATTGTACAGACCTTCGACGAAGTCCTTCTATGTTATATTTCAATTGCAATGATCCAAAATGAGCATCATTTAGAAATTAGATTTCAGTTCAATAATCTTAGATCTTACCAAGTAAACCCAGAGACAAGCCCTTGTGTATTTGAAAGATATAGGGGGCATATATAAAATGGTAAAAAAAGGAATGTCTCCATAAAAATAAGCCAATATTTTCATGGATAGAACTGACATTTACACAAGCAAATGAAAGCCAATGTCTATACCTTAAATAAGCCATGCTAATATCAGGCAAATACTGCAGTGCTTTTTCCAAGGCCCAGTAATAATAAAAAATATTTTACTGCAATTCAACATGAAGAGTTTTGAATAACCCAGGGATTCATAAAATATTTCAAGAAAATATTTTTTCTTATAAATCCCTTGCCTCCTGCAGAGCATGGATGAGTGAAAGTCCACTTGTGCTCCTTTTTACCTTTATTTATTTATGCGACTTTCACAAACGGCCTCAAGCGTGGACTTACCAGAGGTGGCGTGTGTGGCGATCCCTCCGCCCTCACCGGCACTCTCGGCTCTCCGCAGCACGGACACGCCTGCGCGTGACGGGTGCCAACTTCCTGGCTCTGCATCGGCGCTGTGCATTCGCCGCACGCCCAGCCCCCCCACCTTCCCCGGTGGAGCGCTGCGCTCACCGCTCTTCTCTCCCTTGCCGTTCCTGAGAAAACATGTGCTCATTACTTACCAGCCGTGCGATTACAAGCAGACAACCGTAACAAGAACTGGCACAAACATTTCTCATTACTTTAAAAGTCTCGGGACCAAAAAAAACACTTTACCAAGTGTGGTATAATAAGCAGTCATTTTCGTTTCACCACAAGGAAAGCGTGAAACAATTGCGATCTCTAGAATATCAAGCAGTGGTTATCTTACCAGTCCTGGAACAACGACTCATATACAAACTCGTAGACATATTTATTTACCACATTGTTATTCCATTGCAAGAAAAAACAACTCTCAGAGTTAGTGCTACCCTTTTCAAGTGGCCAAGACAAGACATGCAAAATGCATGGGAAAGTGTCAACTGAGTGGAGTGATGTGGCGGTCAGATACATGAGGGGGGTGGGGGAGGATGGGATGCATCTCACCCGTTGGGCTTGCTGGGCTCACTCTGCATGGGCGACTTAAGACAGAGCACAGATACACACATACACAAAGACAAACACATGCATAATCATGCATAATCATGCTGGGAGTGATAAAGATCCAAAAACTGTAAGAGAATGGCAAATATCATGATTACCACCCTAGCACAACTGGATTAAGATTTTCATCAAGTGCTTTTCTATTCTCTAAAGAACCAAAGAGTATGGATTCCTGCAGTCACGAAAGCTTCAAATCAAGATTGCCTTTCTATTATTCTGCATTGTTTATTTATGGATCTTGAATCCAAATTGCTTAGATATCTCAAATAAAAGTTACGCATATATTTCATTTGCACGTAATGTGACATGGTTCTCTTTTGGTAATATGTGGATTATTGTTACATCTCGGTCAATTTTATTATGCAGTACTTGATGTGTAACATAACACAATATACAAGCATGCAAGAACTACATGTTAGACGTAGATTGGGCAAGGTGTATGAAATCTGCCATTGACATGGTGGCGATGAATGAATAAAATGCACATTAAACCTGGTTGAAGATGCGCTCCCTCGCGAGCCGATATTCTTCTTCGCGCTCCTCCAGCGATTTGGAGCGTCGGTCCAGTGCCATGGCTGGACCGTGAGACTAAACGCACGAGTTAAAAGTCAGAGGTTACATACACAGCGCCCAACAATCACCAATGGGGATATTCTTAGCTCTTTCGGTAAAGTCACGTTGAAGGGAAACAATAAAATAATAATTTTATTTATATATATTTTATTGTTTCCCTTCAACGTGACTTTACCGAAAGAGCTAAGAATATGAATTACTGCAGTCACGAAAGCTTTAAATCAAAACCAATGGGGATCTCAACATTTTGAGTCTCACCTTTGTGGGGAACTTGTGCTATGACCTACATCGAGTGCAAATATAAGAGTAGAATAATAAAGTGGGTTTAGTCTGTTTAGCGTATCATTAGTGGCTGATCTGTAGGCAGCATCACAGAAGTCAAAAAGTGGTAGAATGATAGCTTCAACAATTTGCAGGTACAATTAAAATGGAAAACAATGTTTATTCAAGTATAAAACCCCAATTTTTTTATTTGATTTTCTTTGAGATGTGACCAATATGGGGTTATAGTTGATTTGTGACTTAAGTACCAACGTCTACTACCAAGAATGGAAACCAAATGGCTGCAAACTTAGCGTGGGGTTCACTTAAGACCACACAGATCTACAAAGTCACAAACACCAGCACCTTTTTGAGTAATCTACATTGACATATACCTTCCTTTTATAACATCGTCAATCACACGCACCATACTGTCACAATCTCAGAGAAATGCATTCAAATGAAGCTGGCTGCCGAGGGCTTGGAGAGAGACTCGGGGGGCTTCACCTGCGGCGAGCTGGCTGGCGGGCTCTCGCGCTTGAGGATGAGCTTGCGAGGGGTGGGGCTGCTCTCCTCTACTGCAAAGTGCTCTTTGAATCGCTGCAGGGGACTGTGACACGCAGTCGCCACCGAGAGACGTGTTACTCTTTGTGTTAACTCGGAACGGACCATTAATTCGAGCACCGATGGCAAACGTCTGCTGTCGCGGCCACAGCGCGCAAATGGTGGGGTTGTATGAATAATAATAATAATTAATACAGTTGTGTTAAGATGTCCAAACACCAAAGATACTTTGTGCAAGGAATCAAGTCTACATTGAACCACACGTACTTGTGGTGAACATGCAACCAAAACATGCTCTGATAAAATATGCATCGTCTTTGAAACCGATCCTCCACCAGATATATAATGGCATAAAGCCATATATTACACATTTGATTTGTGCATGTATTACGTGCAATTGAAAGTCATCACATACTAAGTAAAAGCTGCGTTGTAAGCCCACAACATACACACACATAAATAGCCAGAACATGGCATTTCCAATCACTTTCCCAGTTTCATGTCATTCACCGGTTGTAGGTTTTTATCCGGAGTTGGGGTTGTTATCACCATTCCCAGTGTTAATATATTTTCACCATACTGATGTCACCTGCTTCACCAGCAGTAACTATTATATATGCCAACTGAAAATGTTTCATCAAGAAACCTTTTTAAAAAGTAATTCACATCACCACTCATGGTGTAAATTGCAGTCTTCAACCATAATCCAATCTCTGGCCTCTATTTATGTGATATGAAAAAGGACCATTGGCATGGTGTTTTTGACTAATGTATCGAGCACAATGCTTCATCCGTGCAAGATTTAGTCCGAGTTAACCTACATCAAATAAACGACCTAAGAGATATGTATTGCCGTTGTTGTACAGTCAGGAATTAAACCAAGATCAAACATTGCTAGCTAGTTCATTTAGTTGATTTATTTGGTATAGCCCTGTGAGCCATTCGGCTCTTGAATCGGGTGTAACCGCAACAAACAAAAAACATGAACAAGAAAACATCTTAAAGTGATTATGTGACTGTGCAAACAGAAAATACAGGAAAAAAATATCAAAATATTCCTGAAATAGCACCGTACACCAACGCTGCGTGCAAAAATCCCAGTGGGATGCAAGTCAAATAACAACAACCACAAGACAACTAAGATTAAAGCCATCGGTCTAACTCCGTACTACAATAAACAAAAACATGGCCAAAACAAACAAAAAACTTTTCGAAATCACCAAAATAAAAGCCATAAATCCAATGTAACAGTGATCATAGGGACTGTGACCGAATTTTTTTACAATAAACTACATAAATAAATTATAACACCAAAATTATAAATTATAACACCAAAATCTTGCACTTCCAACTGCACCACTGGTGGTGCACCACACACATGCATTGTTGCAGGGGAATCACTGTCTGCCTCCTTCAAGTTAGATCCAGGGCCACATTCAGTATTAATATAATCTTGTCCTTTTTTTGTTAAAGTAATCTCTGCAGGATGTACAACTCAAGCACTATTTCAGGACATAAAACCACAGGTCTCAGCTATGTCAAGACAAAAGCAGGGAAGGCACCCTTCCCCTTTGATCTCATGATACTCGGGGGCAAAAACTACACGGTCTCAGACACTCTGCAACATTAAAGAGTCCATATGTCTCACTTTGCCAAGTCATAGTACTGTTTGGATTTCCACAACTGTTTTTTACGAATATGCATGAAGCAAAATTAACATCCCACAATGTGATTTAAGTATATACCTGCACATTTGTAAAAATGTATCGTAAATGTTTTAATTTTTAGTTACCTAGCCCATTAATCAATACGTTAACTGGAGTACCACACATTGCATGGAAAGCTGGACGGTCAACCAATCATAATCTAGGCTTTCAATTTGCATATTTCAAGTAGTGTTCTTCATTGAATTTATAAGTCAAGTGAAACCCAGTCATCACTTGAAAGGGCATCGACACGAAACACTGGCCAATGGTGAGGCCCTAAAGGTGCAAAGGTAAGGAACTCTAAAGCCTTGCTGTGGAAGCCAGAAAAGCAGCGGTATTGTGGCCTTCTACTTATTTCAAGCCATACGTATTCAACCGTGCTAATAGGTGTGAGCATTAATGTTACGCACAGCCTGTGCCCAAGTTGGATGATATAGATTACCCCACTGGACGTTACCTAGACCAGTATAAATAATCAGACGCTAATTTTAAAACTACATTTATGAGTGTGCAACGTGGCTCCAGATATCAAGGCTATGAAGCAGCCACTGTGCATCCTGGTGGAGAATGCCAGTGCAAGCAATGTCCCATCAGTTTGTTATTGATTTAAACCATCCACTAAATCCTCCACTGCTGACGTCTTGTGTGTATTATCTGGACGAAATCTCTAGCAATGGCTCCATACCGTTTAAAGCACAAGGCACAATATATAGTGCTGTGACAATGAACATTGGATATACATTTTACTTAGAAATCTTACCTTCTAAACGTCAATTTTTGTCTGTCCGTCTGTCTGTCTCTGTGTCTATGTGCAGGGAACTTGTGAAGGATTTGGCTAGCGAACGGTGGGGTTTACGTAAAAAAAAGTAGCCGGGTACCACGCCGTAAGCCCCGTGGTGAGTCAGCGCTATTCCGTTTTCCTATCCGGCAACTTGAAAGTAGTTGACAATTGAGTGAAATTTTATTATTATTTCCTCGTGCCGCTAAAGCTGCCTGGGGGTTGACCCTAGCAACGCACACACGTCATCGGTGGAGGGGGGGGGATTTCTCATTCGCGTTAAAAATAAAAAAAATACACAACGCGGAGGTTAATTCATCAAAGTGTCATGTCCTCTTCTCCCCCCCCCCCACCCCAATGTGTGCACTTACTCCTATAAGGTCGGTAAATACTAATATTATAGCGCTTAGATAGTATTATTGTAGCTCAGGCAGGGGGATGGTGGGGGGTGGGGGGCGGGGGTTGCGGCCCAGCCCCTAGCCTGCCAAGGTGCCACCTCGGCCGGCTGGGAAATATAGGCGAGGCCGGGGGCTCTGCACGGGACTAGGCCTCACCACGCTACTCTGTCAGGTGAGTACTTTGTGCAATAGAGTCGATATATACTGCTATAGAGTCAGCATATACTACTGTGGTGATAGCAGGTACCACCACAGTCAGTATGCACTACTGTAATCATAGCAGGTACCAGTCAGCTGTTATCATAGCAGGTACCACCATAGACAGTATATGCACTGCTGTAATCATAGCAGGTACCACCATAGACAGTATGCACTGCTGTAATCATAGCAGATACCACCACAGTCAGTATGCACTGCTGTAGTGAAAGCAGGTAAACCACAGTCGGTATGCACTGCTGTAGTGATAGCAGGTTCCACCACAGTCAGTATGCACTGCTGTAGTGATAGCAGGTACCACCACAGTCAGTATGCACTGCTGTAGTGATAGCAGGTTCCACCACAGTTAGTATGCACTGCTGTAGTGATAGCAAGTACCACCAGTCAGTATGCACTGCTGTAGTGATAGCAGGTGCCACCACAGTATGCACTGCTGTAGTGATAGCAGGTAAACCACAGTCGGTATGCACTGCTGTAGTGATAGCAGGTACCACCACAGTCGGTATGCACTACTGTAGTCAAAGCAAGTACCAACACCAGTCAGTATGCACTGCTATAGTGATAGCAGGTAGCACCACAGTCAGTACGCACTGCTGGAATCATAGCAGGTTTCACCACCGTATGCACTGCTGTAATCATAGCAGGTACCACCAGTCAGTATTCACTGCTGTAATCAAACCTTTTACATCAACTTTTTATCCTCCACTTTCTATAACTTTTGGGACTTCTGAAAGCCTCTTATAATTTTGTCCGTGGATAAATGGACAAAACGCCCAAAGGGCTTTCACAATTGCTTTGTATTTGTGTCTGTTTGTAAGATTTTTCACAGTAGTTTTGAAATATATCTTTTGCCCGGGCAACGCCGGGTACTTCCCGCTAGTGCTATATAAATGTTTAATACAACATATTCATTACATTAACACGGAATTTGATTGCAGAAAAGTAAAAACTACATTTCAGGCTTTACTATGCCCATGCACAGCAACTACATGAATTAATTTGCTATTGAGTTAGAGGTCTTCAAAGGAACTGGTTCTTTTATGCCTATCTCTATCTTAATATAGATGTAATTCTGTATGATGCCCATTTGCTCTAAGGAATTTTCTCCTTCCACCTCTGTTCATATTTTAAAAATTATTTTTTCACACACGAGTCTTTTAATACTACATATTTTTGTTTACCTTTGTGATACAAACACAACCATATGCAGTGACTAAAAATGTCGTCTGTATTGAAAATATATAAATTAATACTTTAATGTGCTGTTACATTGTATGCAATGTTCAAAGTCGGTATTAAATTCAAATATACCTACCACAGAAAATCTGCTGCATTCATTTTAACTTTCACTAAGATTCATAAATAAAATGTAAATGTATATTATTCACAGTAAATACCAAAGTCTTTGGCGGAGAGTTGATCGTTTAATCTGTATGTGCCAGGGAACGCAACGAGCCACCATAGCATGCACCATTTGCCTCAAGCACACTGTGCAGTCCGTATGACTCATGCACTGTGAAGAGCTTGCTCAGAAAAAATGGTGCCAAATCCCAATCAAACGCGAGTCCTTCAGGTCAGAGCTAAAAGTGTCGCGTTGACTTTGAACACCTGCACAAGTGTGTATGTGTAGGGGTGCAGTGATAAGCACATTGCGCTCTGAACCCAGTTACAAGGGTTCAATTTTGGGGGGGGGTCTAAAGATGCCGATTCATTGACAAATATTGAGTCATAAACTTAATGATACCTGCATAGAAATGCATGTGATAAGGTATTTTCCAATTTATTCCAATTTATGCTGTTATTTAAGCTAATAGGGTGAACAAAAAAACTGCACAACCAGAACACAACTAAGAAATTACATGAAGGATAGTGAATATTAGACAATTGATCAAATCACCATCTATATCATTCCCAGAGCAAAGGAAATATGTCTTGGGCCTCACCTCGGCCAACTGGGGCTAAATTAATACCTGATACAATGTGTAAACAAACACTGGGGGAGATAAACAGTCCAGGTATAGTACTGGTCGCACCACCTTCTGGTATGCGATTCCAGCCTTATTATGTGCTCAGGGATATAATTTATTCCTATGATTGAAAACAAAAAAAAGAGACCGTGTGTGTGTATATGTTTACGGGGAAATTGTGAACAGTTTCAAAAACGTAACTCGGAATGTAATTACTGATGATACACTGCAGTGGCTCTTAATATATAAACTCGGTTTGATGATCCCTAGATCAACTCTGTGTAAAATTAGTACACTGGCCTATATGTCAATACATGCAGCAGGGAGACTAATGTGGCCAGGCATACAAAGGCCCACTAACCCCTTTGGAGTGACGCACCAATTTCACGTGCATCATAAAAGCACTCACTCCAACTGTCAATTTATGACAAAATGAGATTTTATCTTTGTTAAACTTTAAGTAAATCAGTTATGTGCATATTTAGTTTAAATCGAATTACGAGTGCAAAAGAGTGTTTGAATGTGTGTGTGTGTGTACATGCTAAGTACGTGAGTGCATGGTGGTGTGTGCGTCCACATACATACTAATCTGCCATTTGTGACATATTGCACTGCTACCAATTTAATGTTTGGGCTACTTTCAACTAAGGTGGCTATTATTTCATATAAAACTGCCAACTTTTAAAATTTAATTTCGTAAGTTGTTTATTCCTTTTTAGATTATTTGACAACCAGTATTGGTGTCCTAACATAACCCTTGACAGCATTGTGCAAGAGACTTGGGGATCTGAAGCAGACTGCCTTCTGTCGGGGAAGTGCCATTCTGCAAGTGATAATGTGGACGAGTATGAGAATAGTAACGTGAAACATGGGTCGAGCGGCAGACTGGGGGGGGCTGATGCCCAAGTTGTTTTACATAGCCTTCAAAAATTAAAGACTGTCTTCAAATCCTAGGTGAGAGAGGCAGAAATAAGCTTGACACTAAAGATTCAGGGCTCCCATGTGCTGCGAGTTACACTGCCTACCTCTGGATACCAATTATCCTGAAGTTTATGTTTGCACCTGATCAATACACAGCTCTGTAACCAGAGGTAAACAGAGAAATCACTCTAGGGCGGTAGGAGCATCATTAACTGTCAGTGGAATGACCTGTGGTAGGTATTGCAGCGCAGGAGGCACGACTATTGGACAATACAACCATGAAACAACTTGTGTGCAACACACCAGTGGCAACAGGATTGCAAAAATAGCAAATTAAAGAATGACCTTGTGCTGGTGAGAGATGGGCAATATTTGTGAACATATGTTCAATATAACACTTGCTCGAATGCTTTATCATTGTTGCATGGGTAAAAGTGGTGACAGGTTGAGTTGGAATCTGGCTTGTTCACAGTATGCAGTTTATCTCAATATAAGAGGAAGATTTGCAATTAGCCTGGGGGTGAGTTTTAACCTCTCAATGCAGGGCATCCAATGTTGTAGTTTGCATTTATTTTGCCTCCGATGTTCAATGTTTCAATGTTGAATGTGCCGTGTGCTTACAAGATGACACGTTCAAGGTCACTTGATAAATTAAATAGGAAAGTACAGAAACATGATACTGCAACCAGTTGGAGATTCACATGGTGGGAGGTTATCAGCATAAGCGTGTGAACATCATATAACCATACAAATGTAGCATCAGATGTAGTGAAGCGATAAGGAAGTAGCTACTAAGTGCCCCATCAACGTGAAAAGGGGCACAGTGCTAAGCAGCTGTACATCAATGATTGGAACAATCAACATCAAACTGTATTTGGTATAAGCAGAGATGATCAAAATATAAGTAATAAATGTATAAATGACAGGTGTATAATCTGTGTGAATGTGTGGATATTTGAGTGTCTGGGAACAGTAGGTGTATGCATGCAGCTGAGTCTTGTTTGTGAATTATGTTCAATATTCACTACCTGAAAAGTGTGCAAAAATACCCAAGTGTTGTGTGTACATGCAAGCGTGTACTGTAAGAGGAGAATGTGCTCGTACATGCGAGTATTCGCAGTCTTGTGAAGCATCAAAGTGGTGCCCTTGGGTCCAAGAACCGCGTGCTCCAAGCCAAAGTGTGTGGCGACACGGTGCGCCAACAGCCGGTGATAAGATGTCATTGGGGACAGCGAGTGTATATTCGCACTGCACGCATTCAACACACAACAGCAGCAACATGAATTTATATGTGAGTTCGCTGGTTAAACTGCAGCCATCCCTTATGAGGTTTCATTTTAGTAATTGATAGGTAGAGATGCTGACAGTGGGGCATCATTACAGCATGGTTCCCAATGACTGGAACGAAAAATGAGCTTCAGTGAATCAATTTGGTATTTGCAAGTGTCATATATCTGTGCAAATATATTCAATTGAAATCCATATTCAGTTGGTAACCAGTTCAAGTGTTTAACAAGGGCAAAATCCAAGATGCTAATTATGGAAGTCGTTTTCATATGTAAAGCTGATATAACACAAAACAAACATGGCACAAATTTATACAAACGCCAACGCATGGATATTCAAAAGATAGGACCGAAAAACAAAACTCACAAATTCAGCCATATATGAACCTACGCATGTGGCAATGACACAATTGATAAAAATGTGTAGACCAAAATAACTGTGACTTGGCACGCAATTCGGCTTAAATTGTGATCACGCTGACACGCTCACCTCCATAACAAGCAATCACACATCGTTTAGGCGTTCCAGTAGTCTATTACTCCTCGTTGTGAAAACCCATTCCATTACGCTGTCAGCGAGTCGGGGCCAGTTTAGTAAAACACATTACAGGCACATTCAACAGGCCAGCACACGAAACCTCTAAGATGACCAACAGTGAATTTGTATCACAGCACAACCATATATTAAATTAAAAACCCAAGTAGCGAAAGGGAAACAATAACGCACCTGCTGTCTTTTATGAACTCCAAAATATCTTGCTCCATCTTCAGCAGAAACATTCTGTCTCTACAGAGCATCATCATGGGGCAACAATGGGTTACATGAGGAATCTTGAAACCAAAACGTGCCTTTTGTGACAACCTAACAAAGGCTGCCATTGGTGCAGCGCGATACCACAGGAACTCAACGACAAAGAGACTCGCGGGCATTGGGATAAAGTGATGTGCAACAAATTGACATTCTCACTGGGGCACCAACACAATAATAGAGGGGCACAAAGTTCAGCCACGTGTGGCAATTCTTGTGTTACTTATACACAGAAGCAAATACGCTGCAACCTGTCTTATAGACTGTTAGAGCAAGCTCTGTGAGCATCTATTCAGAATAACATAACAAGGGATTAGTGTGGCCAGTACCACTAAGCTGATGGTCCAGGCAATTTTTTTCTGCGTGCATATGCAGGAGTCAAACCGAGGTTGCACATATCATTGTACACTAATCATTGTTCCCACATTGCCCACACAGGCATACCTGGGGTTATTCTTTAAGATGTCGGTCAGAAACTCTGCCACATCAACTCCTGTAGAATCCTTCAGCTCCAGAACAGGTTCTGTTGAAACAATTTAGAGGCTTGTTAATGTAATTGTACATTGTTCTTGCTTTTAACAGTGGAATTTATATTGTAACATATTACACACAGACCTGGGAAAAATGCACATAGTGCACACTAGTAGCTGGTGATTCCTGCAGGAGTCATATTTGAATCGTGGGTGATTTACGTAGGAATTTGGCAATGTTCACGGTAAAATAGCCATTCACTTTCATGGTGTTTTGAGAGGGGTAAAGGTGCCACCTAGTGCTAGTAATTGGAATTGCTACTAGCATTGCATTCACTGAAATTAAAAAGGAGAAATTCTAGGCTGTCAAAGAATTCCCATTCATTTCAATAGTAATTCTTGCAAATGAACGGACTCTTTGACATAGAATTTCAGGCTTCGTTAATGATGTTAAAATCACTGTCGAGCATGTCTTTATGACACTACAGGGACATCACTGACATCAGTTCCATGATGCCAAAAACAATACAAATGTACAAACATCACAGAAGCACTATTGACAGCACAATTGACAATAATTTAAGTACGTTGTCTTCGAAAAAGAATCCATAAACTCACGTAGGACAACCAAGACACAGCCTAGGTACATATCAGAAGGATTAGCATTAATTGTTTTGGGATTCGATCTTCGGATTGTCATCTGCTAAACACAGCTTTAACGAGGCAGCTTGCCAAAGACAACATTTGCATGGCAAGGCAGACAGAAATTACAAACAAAATGAGGTCACCGTTAGTTATTGCCACACTGCAACAGGTACTCATTTCCAGTTAAGTTAACCTGTGGGTGGCTCTAACATAGATTCAAAATATGTTTACAGGTGTGCATGATCATGTATGGACATGCACAAAGCAAAGCTTTTTACAGTTTTGCAAGTGAACATTGAGGAATATCCACCTCACCTTTAACCAGTTTGGCTTTAGGGATCAATCCAGGACAAGGGAGGAGTCCAGAAGGCACAGTGATGTTGGTGGAGGGACAGGGGGTTCCAGAGGTTTCAGGATTCCCAGCATCCGGTGCTCTTCCTGCTTTGTTCTTGCTCTTGCTTTTCTTCTTGGTCGACTCTTTGCTGCCCTCTGCTGCTGGAGGTTTGCCCTTCTGAGTTGCATCCTTTGAAACGAAATCTTTTAGTCTCCATGAGCGACACAACATCCACGAAAATCCAAACGTTTACTACTGTGTCAAGCAAACAATGCAAGAAGTCAAGCATGAAGGTGGCTATGTAACTGTATTAAGGGTCAAAGGATACAAATTATACATTTTAACACGTAAAAAGATGCAGTCTTGAACGCATTTACAGGTTAGATTGCTATTCACCAGTTGGATTGCAGTTTTCGGTATAAAAAAAATCCGAGTTTGAGTGAAACAATTGACATCAGGGCACACGTGTCGTGTTTCCGGACTCCGTCACATCACGAGTGGTTATGGGAAAAGCCCAGCTCAAAGCAGTTAAAATGGTTCGACGAGGAGGCCCTTGAGCCCACTTGGGAAACTACGCTGTCAAAATGGGCCTGCTGCAAAACCAGACAGCTCCAGCCTGAATCTCTGAGCTGGCTTTGTTCCAGAACAATTACAAGTGGTCATCAAAACAAGAAATGAGAGACACGGTTGTAAGCTGCTTTACCTGCATGGGTATGACCTGCGGCATATGTCCTGCTCCCTCTGGGGTCTTCTCGACAACTGGCCCACGTGGCTTGGCCTGCCGCACGAGCAATTAAATAGACGAGTTACTGGGTGTACACTGTTGCCATTATGCAAATGACCGAATCACTCAAGAACACAAAACTGTTCTGCCTCCGCAATGTTCGAAAACTGCCAGGAGAATAGTCTAAAGCCTGCCATCTGGATGGTGTGTTGTTGAAAGGTTGTGTCTTGAGATATCAGTCGGTATTTAACAAATGAAAAAATAACTGAGGTATTTAACTTCCTGCTCTGCAAAACAAATGTTTATTTTTCCACGTGCAGTATTTTTTTTTCAGAACACGCAAGGCGTCAGTTTAACACGTAGGCTTTCGCGACCAATATTATTCATAATAAAGATTTTTAGCTTAGATAGCGTAAATATAAATGTCATAACCCTCCTTTTCCTTATGACGACCGCTTGTGTTGCAATCGAAACGTCGTAGTTTTTTGTTATTTTCTTTGAACCGAAAGACCCCAAAAAAATGAATTCCTGCAGTCACGAAAGCTTTAAGTCAAGATTTAGTACTTATTTTTTATGAAGCTAGGAGAGGTGCCAGGCTGAATTGATAGTTGGCCGAGATTTGAACTTGACACCACCTAATCGTGAGTGAAGCTTTTTTTTAAATATTACCACTGCCCAAATCCAGTGGGTTACACACAAGAAAACGTCAGGCACCAAGAGCAACGTACCTTTGATTTCTTTTTCTTCTTGGATGAGGTTTCTGTTGGGCCATTGACAGCCGGAGTGAGGTTGGAAGCTAGGGGGTTGGTGGGGACCTGCAACGCTTTGGCAGTGGGGCTATCTGTACCCCCTGGTGTAGTAAGCAGGGTGGGGTGGGCACTCGGAGCCTCAGCAGAAGCCACGTTAGCAACCCCACAACAGTCAGGAGTGGCACCTTCCTCCACTTGCTGTTTTGTGAAACGAGGAGCCTACAAACAACAATTGACAGTTTTAAGGACGTGAATGAAAACTCATGGCTTTTAAAAATGATGACTAAATTGTGGAATATTTTAAAATAAGGGATGAATGTGGTAACATGCCATAACATAGCCTATTTAAACAAATGATGACATCATGGGGTTTTTAAAATTAATTTCATGGAGGACACTTTTATGATTTCCTCGAAAAAAAATAGGTTATTTCATAAACAAGTAAACGGTCAACCCAAGCAGGATTCATTGGTCAGTATGCTTACCTCCAGTGTCTCTTTCCAAGTGGTAGTTCTCTAATATATTTAGAAAGCAGTCACTGCGAGTTTGTTTAACCAAATGGGAGTCACATGAGGGTATGAATAATTTGGGAAGAAAAAAAGATGCTTACATCTTCTACATCTGGTTTCTCTGGGACACCAAATTCGACCAAATTGGTTTGCAATGATCACGGTCCCAGCTTACCTTGGATCGCTTTTTCTTTTTCTTCTTCGATTTCCCACTCTACGTAAGCAAGAGACAAAGCCAGTTATTTGCATCCGAACAATTTTAAACATCACAAAGTGTTCATTAACAAACAAACAAAACACCTGCGTCCAAAAGAAGCAGCCTCAATTTGGAACGGCAGTCCTAATGCCAAAATAACAATCCTTTAGTTTAACGTTAAGTCACGTGCATTAGGGAAGGCCTCCCGGAGATGTGCTATGATGAGGGATGCTTGGCATGGTAATCCGGATGGCTTTTGCCGACCAGACTATCTTGGAAAGTGACAGCACAAAGCCAAACAGAATCAGTCGGAGATATGCAACCCTCTTATTTTAAATGCAGTTGTTTTCATATTCTTTCTGCAAAGGCAAAAGCATTGTTTTTGTAAGAATAAATGTTGAATTGTAACGGTGTCAAATAAATGTATCATGTATTATACCTTTGTGATATCTTTTTGGGGTTTTTTTGTAAGTAAAATGTTATTTTACGCTCAGAATGAAACAAATGTTTGAAAATAATCCCAGAATCATGAATTTTGGACATTTGACTCGAAAATTATGCTGGATAAATTATTTCAACGTTTATTCACCAATGAGTTACGTTTTTTTTGGCGATATGTCTTAGGCAGAGCAAAGCACCTTTGTGCTATTTTTAGACATAATTCATAGCACAGACCGCTTCATCTTGACAGGGAAGTCTTAGGAAGAAGCAATGAGAGACAGCTCCCAATATATTATCAATTGGCCTATTTTACCCAACTCTTATATATGGTGTGTTTTTATCATGTGCAGGATAACATGGTTTCCCCTCATATGTGGGCAATCCAAACTGGGTGTGGTTTATCTAAGTTTACTGCAAATAAATATATACAGTAATTTACTACTATATTTACCTAAGAATGTCAGTGTGTAACGTGCGTGACGTCACTTCACGTGGACCAGTCCCCCTCATTAACAATCATGAACAGGTTACATCCTCCACATGGACCCCCCCCCCCTCATTAATAACCATGCGCAGGTGACGTCACTCCACATCGAATAGCCCCCCATATTAATTATCATTAAGACGTGACGTCTTCCAAATGGACACCCCTCCCTTCATTAATATTAATTAGCAGGTGACATCACTCCACATGGCGGGGGGCGAGGCACCTCCTCCCCCCTCCTCAGCGTCAACTTACAACCCTCACTACAAAGGTCGAACCCTCAAGTCACGCGATCTTCGTAACGCTACTGAGACATAGAAGTAAAAAGGACGTCATGATGAACAAGGGATTATAACCTTAAAACGAAATAAGTCTGTGTCACCGCAGCCTGACAAATTGCGCACAAATGGATGCAATATCACGTCATCGTCTGATTTTCACTTGCAAGTTTCAGATTTACTGCAATATATCCGTCCTTGGACGGGAAAAATGCTAGTATGGGAGGTTTGTATGAATTAATAGGCTGCACTGAGAAAATCAAGCTGCTTCAAATGAAAAACATTTTACCACAAGTGGTAACCTGAACCTAAGGAAAATGGACATTCACTTATTCACACTGCAGAGGGGTGGCACTTGGCAAATAATAAAAAAAATGCAGATAGCCAGAGTGGTCAATCTAATATGCGTGAAAATAAAACCTAAGTGTTAAAACATCTACAGATAAATGTGAATCACAAATTGAATTTGCCAACTGACTCCTCATGGACGGATAAACACAAACAATGCATTAATATTCCAAGTGACTCCTCTTAATCATGAAAAGGTGACATGGAATAAATGTTTGTGCTTGTGGTAAACACTGCCAGATGAATCCTATCTGCAAATAAATACAGATAATAGGATTAATTTACTGCATAACCTCTAATTAGTTAAGAAATCAAAATGTATATATTGTGCGATTGGTGACAAATTCCACAACTTGTTACCCATAAAAGGTTTCAGGAAATAGGAAAGGTACATCATCCGTGCATAACAGGAATTTTAGATTGTAGACCACAGATAATTAGATTCAAGAACAGGGTGAAAAATAATAGCGGCACAGTACTTTGATTTAAGGCTTCAAAGTCCCACAAAGAAAATTGGAATGTTTCAGCTCTGTTCGATATTTATCTATAGTTATATAATCACAAGCACATGGTTATGCATGTGCTTGTCAGATATTAGATGGTAATATTAAATTGCCTAGGATTGTCTTCTCTATAAATAAAAGATGTACGGAGAAAATCGTTTTGGTTTAAAAAGCAGAACTCATAAAAGTACAAAAGTCGAAGATATATGATCGCATGGATAGTTAATGAATACATTTAGAATCTAAAACAGTTCTAATATATCGCTCTTTAGAGTCATTAAATAGTAAACTGCATAGTTTGTACAAAACCGTACTTTTAAGTGTGAAAGTATAGTGCATTACAAATCATGGGCCGTCAAAAAAGCAAACATGACTGTTGTAAATGTGAAGAGACTTGAGCAACAAACATCATTCAGATGTGCACATCATAAACCAGATTATCCAGTTATGGATGGGCAACGTTTCTCATACTTTGTCAAATTTAATTGTGAGTTGTTCTCTTTAGTTGCATGCCAACCATAGTGTGTATTTAAGAGGCTGAGACAGTACTGAAACATCTGATTTATACAATCAGCAATGCAAATGAAACAAAAAGTGAAATATTAAAAACATGGCATATGTGCCATGCATGGGGGGTGGGCTGACAATAAATCTTGTAACACACCACACAAATAGTACTCGTGTAAACATTCCTGCAATAAGCAATGAATTATGTTACCAATTTGGGAAATGTCAATTTGGTAATGTTTTATAACTCAAGAGTAACCAGTGACTGGTCATAAAAATGCAACTCACAGATCTTGTCAAAATTATTGAAAATAACTCTTTACACACTTTACTACCAGTGCAGTGCATATTACAAATTATTCTAGAGTGAGCAGCTTAAACTGCATCCAATCACTTCAAAGAATACCGTAATTGCTTGCACAGGATGATATGGTCAGATCCCAAAACAAAATTGCTCTCACTGTTGGGACCTGAGTGTCATCCACTTTGACCGGCTAAGTTTTAAATCTTTATTTTTGAATCCTACACTTATTACATTTGGTGGTCGATTTCAAGAGATGCGACCTCCTTAAAATTATAATGCAATCTTTATTTTATGTCTGCTTATGAATGTACAAGTCCACGTAAAAGTCGAGTTTTCTCCAGGATATTGCTTCCCCCCAATGTTCCGTTTGGAATTGATAAAAGCTACCATACTGCCTCTACTTGACTACTGTGACATCGTGTATAAATCAGCCCCAAGTACTGTACTGAAGAAGCTTGATTCCATCTATCACTCGGCCTTAAGATTTGCATTGAACTGCCCATATAGGACTCACCACTGTGATCTCTACATTGGGTCAAACTTAACATCTCTTAATGTTCGACGGCTTGTGCACCAGATCTTATTTATTCACGATGTACTTACAAAAAATTCCGCAGACTACCTACTGGATCTCTTCTCTGTTTCAAAGAACAAATTTGACCTCAGGTCTTCGCTCATTTACCAGCTTCACATTCCCTATTGCCGTACAAAAACTGGAGGAAGGGCCTTTACTATTGATGCCCCCAGGGTCTGGAATTCTATTGCCAATAAACTGCAACTTGAATCACTACCTATGAGATCTTCACTCAAAACTGCTCTAGAGGATATTCTTAGTTTTTTCGGTAAAGTCACGTTGAAGAGAAACAACAAAATAACAAAATATATATAAAACAATAAAAAATTCTCACGACGTTTCGACCATAACTCAAACGGTCATCATCAGGTGTGTCGGTTTGCATAAATTTATTTTGAAAACGGCATATTTATTTATTTATATTTATATATAAAAAAATAACGTTTGCGTCACGCGCAACTATGGCAGTTTGCCAGGACTAGTCCATCTATTTTTTGAAAAGAGGAGGGGGGAGACGAAATTTGTTTTTATGTATGCTGTCTGAAAGGCACTGTAAGCGTGAACAATCAATCAAGAACTGAAATGATTTATCAAATCTTTCCAATGATTGCTAAGATAGAATCCATCTTCTCGGTTGAAATTGTCTCTGTGTTTGTATATGTGGATAGCCTCATGAACGAATCTCTCATGGAAGCCAGATGGCTTACAAAGAACCTCCGTCTTGGAAAAGTCAATGGCATGTGAGCCTACTGAATTAGAACAATGATCTGCTACGGCCGAGGTGTTGGTCCTACCGTGTTTAAGGTCTGCTTTATGTTCACGAATGCGGTCCGAGATATGGCGTTTGGTTTCTCCAATGTAACTACTACCACAGAGGCAACTTAGTTTGTAGACACCAGGGTATTGTATGTCCGGAATCACATCTTTTACAGACGGAACCAGATCACGGATTTTATGTAATGTGTTGAAACGGACCTGGATCTTGTGTTTATTCAAGATTTTGGAGATCTTTTTTGTGATCCCAGCAATGTAGGGTAAAGTGATGGTTTTGAAAGGCTCCTCAAGAGGGTTCTTCTTCATGGTTTGAGTGATAGCTTTGCGGATTGTATAGTCGGAGTAACCATTAGCCCTAAGAGCTTGGTGTACGTGCTTGAGTTCACTGCTTATGTGTTCCTGGTCGGATATGCATTGGGCTCTATGATACAGAGTCTTGATGAGAGAATTCTTCTGTGATGGATGGTGGTGGGAATCCGGTTTCACCACCATCCATCACAGAAGAATTCTCTCATCAAGACTCTGTATCATAGAGCCCAATGCATATCCGACCAGGAACACATAAGCAGTGAACTCAAGCACGTACACCAAGCTCTTAGGGCTAATGGTTACTCCGACTATACAATCCGCAAAGCTATCACTCAAACCATGAAGAAGAACCCTCTTGAGGAGCCTTTCAAAACCATCACTTTACCCTACATTGCTGGGATCACAAAAAAGATCTCCAAAATCTTGAATAAACACAAGATCCAGGTCCGTTTCAACACATTACATAAAATCCGTGATCTGGTTCCGTCTGTAAAAGATGTGATTCCGGACATACAATACCCTGGTGTCTACAAACTAAGTTGCCTCTGTGGTAGTAGTTACATTGGAGAAACCAAACGCCATATCTCGGACCGCATTCGTGAACATAAAGCAGACCTTAAACACGGTAGGACCAACACCTCGGCCGTAGCAGATCATTGTTCTAATTCAGTAGGCTCACATGCCATTGACTTTTCCAAGACGGAGGTTCTTTGTAAGCCATCTGGCTTCCATGAGAGATTCGTTCATGAGGCTATCCACATATACAAACACAGAGACAATTTCAACCGAGAAGATGGATTCTATCTTAGCAATCATTGGAAAGATTTGATAAATCATTTCAGTTCTTGATTGATTGTTCACGCTTACAGTGCCTTTCAGACAGCATACATAAAAACAAATTTCGTCTCCCCCCTCCTCTTTTCAAAAAATAGATGGACTAGTCCTGGCAAACTGCCATTGTTGCGCGTGACGCAAACGTTATTTTTTTTATATAAATATAAATAAATAAATATGCCGTTTTCAAAATAAATTTATGCAAACCGACACACCTGATGATGACCGTTTGAGTTATGGTCGAAACGTCGTGAGAATTTTTTATTGTTTTATATATATTTTGTTATTTTGTTGTTTCTCTTCAACGTGACTTTACCGAAAAAACTAAGAATATGAATTACTGCAGTCACGAAAGCTTTAAATCAAAATTTGCTCTAGAGGAGTTGTACAACCCTAGCTGCCACTGCTATTCAGTGGCCTAAAATATGGCTCTAGATTTTGGTGTTATAATTTATTTATGTAGTTTATTGTTAAAAATTCGGTCACAGTCCCTATGATCACTGTTACATTGCATTAATAGCTTTTGTTTTGGTGATTTCGAAAAGTTTTTTTGGTTTTGGCCATGTTTTTGTTTATTGTAGTACGGAGTTAGACTGATGGCCTAAATCTTAGTTGTCTTGTGGTTGTTATTGTTGTTGTTTGACTTGCATGCCACTGGGATTTTTGCAAACAGCGTTGGTGTACGGTGCTTTATCTGGAATATTTTTGCTGTGTTTTTCCATGGATTTTCTGTTTGCACAGTCACATAATCACTTTAAGATGTTTTCTTGTTCATGTTTTTTTGTTTGTTGTGGTTGCACCCGATTCAAGAGCCGAAGGGCTCACAGGGCTATACCAAATAAATGAACTATATGGTTGCATTAGAAGATTAGATGCGGTATAAATCCAAATTGTGTTGTGTTGTAATGCTCGAAACTGGAAATAGATCAGTATATGCCAAAACCACACTTAACTTAAACATCCAGAATGTGTTTGGTACGAGGCTCTTAACAATTATATCTTATTTTCAATAACAGACCAAAACTGTGCATAGGACGTGGCCTCAGTTGGCTGTGTTGAATACAATTTTAAGGCAAGCTGTTATAACCATATGCTTTTACAGAACCCAAGTAGCACGCTTCTGTGTTTTTCTATTTATAACGACACAATATGAATATGGGCCTCTGTGAACTTGTTTTTGCCTTTGTTTAAGGGCAATTATGCAAGGTGCTTGGATGTTTAAGAGGTTGCTAAGCATGTGATTAAGGACTCTCTTTTTAAATATGTATGGCTTGCTTTCGTGCAGACCTAAAACCTGCGAGACAAATGTATATTTTTTTATTTTATGGTGCTTAGAAGATGTGCATTTACAAAGGCCCATAATATATAGCCTACATGTGCTTGTTCAGTGAATTTGTTTTCCTTGTCCATGGCATGACATCAAAATTGCTGTATGGTGGGGCTGGATTGCTCAATACCACTGTGCCTTCAATTACACGTTAAACTCACATGCAATATTTCTCCAGTGTAGAGATAAGCATGCTTGGAACATGGACAAAACGCTCTTAAGAGTAAACAAGAGTTTTAGCACTTACAATTGTTATGGAATTGACAAATCGGTGGAGCATTTTATTTGGTAACAGGCATTTTTATACTGAATGGTAATAGCAAGGGAACAAACGGAGAGGAAGTGCGATAGATTGCTTCATTCATTAGTGCTGATGGCTGTGACATTGAAAATGGAAGAGAACCTGGCTTCATATCTCCTGGCTTCATTAAGTCCCTATTAGAAACAATATACCACCCAGTCCTGTTGTATTATCTTCTGAAGCTGAGGAAAACAATATAATGAAGCACAAACATGTAATCAAGACAACGTATTACAGCTAACTGTTCTCAGCAATTGTTTTAATGAAACATAGGGAATAAAAAAAACTATTCCAAAGCAACACCATCCTATTTAATGTGACGATCAGCCACAATGACTGGGTTCAAGCAAGGCAACCGCCTTCTCATCACACAAGTTCAGTTCTGATTATGAATTGGACAGCTGTACTGACAGTAATAAGACAGATTCTGTATTTGGCTTCACTTTTTACCTCATTAACTTGCGCCGCTGTGGATTCTGGGATGGGCTCCTTGTACCCAGTCTTTTCTGCAGTAGAGTCATCATCATCACCGCCTTCCGACGCAATACTGCCCTTTTCTGCTTCAACTGGGCTAGATGCTTCCTCGGATGGACTACTTGACCCCTCCGGCGAGCTAGTAGGCCTTTCAGAATGATCACTCAGCATTCCCGTCAGGTTATCTGGCTCCTCAAGAATGACGCTGGCCTCCACGGATGGCATATCTGGCTGCAGAGAGGGGCAGGAGGCCTCCATGATAAATGTGACAGACTCCTCCAGCAGGGTTGTTGAATCCAAACTGACTGGAGCTTCCGTACTGGGTGTTATCTTGTCTGGCATGGTCTCCGATGGACTCCCTTGCATGGTTCATTCGAGCCTGCTTACAAGAGGGTAGACAAAAAAATAATACACGTGTTTTTTTTAACATAAAGCCAACAATGGTGCATTCCGAGTAAAATTTGAGTCAGAAATCCTGACCTGACACACACACACACACAGAGGTACCATTTCCAGCGTGGGAACTATGAAGACAAATGCATCCCTTGCAATGTTCCATCGCATAGATTGCCTCGATAGCCTTTACAAAAGACAAGTGCAAATGTTTTATTTTTTACCTACGTGACTTTACCGAATAGAACCAAAGAGTAGAAGTGCAAATGCATTGACAACTACGGATGTAAAAGTGCCTCTTAACTTGTAATCAGGAATTTTCTCAGTTAAAATGGAATCTCTATAAAATGCCACAGCACTCAACTGAGGACAGATCAAGCCATTCGGCAATTGCATGGGTTCTGGAACATTAGTGACGCCTTGGTCGGTTTCTTTCTGAACTAATTGGGAACATTTTATACTCATATTTAGATTAAAAAATAATTCTCAAGAAACAGGCTGTAAATGTTAACTCCTGCCAGAGAAAACTGTAAAAAAATGCTATTATAATAAAATGTAATGTTCCCTTTTATATATTTGTACCGTAACGTTATAGCATAGGTTCATAACTGGTATGGCATATTTACAGTATTTCGTTTCATTATTTTAGGGCAGTGTTACTTCAATTGTACTCTAATCTGGCCCTGGATTTTGGTGACTTTTTTGCAATAAGCGGCTTTTTTCCCTATTCATTAAAAATGTTGAAAACTAAAAAAAAAATCAACTACAGTACAATTTCACCAATTTGAATGGAGATTTGTCGCCATTAGTTGCTCCACACAAACTTTTCAAGCAATTGTTTGACATAACCAGTGAGAAGCAGCTTTGTCCATGCATAGAACACTTTTCACAAGTAGATAGTAATATTTAGTGAGTTCTGAAACAATCTATACTGTACCCAACATGGATTGCAAAAGGTCTAAAGCTATAATTCAATGTGGACACAAGCCCAATCTTGAACCTAAAAAGCTGAAATTGCCTTCAAGTTTGTCCCAATGGCCAAATGAAACCACCTCAAAGCTTCAATAAAATGAATGCTACAATCATGCAAAACAAATGTTGGCAGCAGAAATAACCAATCTCTCTTCATTACTGCTAATATGACTATGATTAATCTTTCTTGTATAGTGAATTTGTAATTCTACCAAGAACTAGGTCAATCCCTTTATCTTCTTTGCATGGCAAAAATGACAAAACATAAAAACAGGGTTCTCAAAACAGGGATTCAGGGTCACATGTAAATATTCCAGTGTTGAGTTATTTAAATGTTTATGTAGTACAAACGCTTTTAAAACGTCATCAAGATTCATAATTGTTATAAATAGGATTTAGCCGTTAATGTGATGTATAGAATAATTGTACAACGTTGAGAGATGATATTTACATGGATAAAATGAAATTCTTATCAAATTATTAATTTTCCAGTGTGATTTGCCAGTTTCTCTAAATAGTAAAATTACCTCAATATATATACAAATGGGACACAATTTAAAGGATCTAAAATTAAGTTTAAATACAGTTCATTCGAGCAAAATATGTAAACATTTTTGTCAATAACACTGCCTTAAATTCTAAGCAACTTTTTTGGGCTATGAAGGGCTGCTGCCCTATGGCAGTAGGAAGAGTTGGTGGACCATCAACATTCGAGGACACACGGGGCTGAATTAAAGCAGGGCACAAGGATGCAGCGCCCCAACAATGAGGAAATGTGCGGTGCACACGGGAGCTAAGGGCCCAATGGACAATCACTGGACTGTTGGGAGACCTATAAGACTGGAGGACAAGGGAACTTGGACTCTCAAAAGTCTCAAAAGCATGGGATGGACCCACAGGACAAGTGAGAGCACTGGATAGGATAAAGGTATTTAGGTAACCCATGTGACTTGGGCACCAATTGACAAGGGACTGGTGCATCCATGGTGTAAGGGACTCACGGAACTGGGAACCAAGACAACACGAGGAGACGGGGAACCTATGACAATGGGAAAAAAAAACAGGGGACAGAATGACTTGAAGGGCATTCCACAGTTCTCAGGCACCAAGGGGACTGCAAATTAAAATAGAGTGGGGGCTCACATTGCAACACTGTAACATGCGAGACTCGGGTACGTGAAGCTGAGTAACTCAGAACTTTAAGCAACTCGCAGGGTATGTGAAATATAGGGGGGCCCATTTGACTACGATTGCAGGGGGAGAAAGTGGATTCCGCAGGTACTCGCTGGGCTTCTAAACGACCGGGGTACTTACGGCACTTGTAGCTCTAGAAGACAGATGTGTCCTGTAACACTGGGGTTCCAGAGAACGTGGATCATAAGAGCATCTGGGTTCTCGGGGACAGTCGTCCCAGATGATCAGCGGGGTTACAGAAGGACAGATCCTGCTACAGGACTATGATTATGGGAGACAGGAACCCCTCCGACGGACTGCCTGGGGTAGTGGATCTAGAGAGCAAGGGGGGAGTGTGTGTATGTGGAGACCCCCACGAGTCTCGCTGCTTGCCCTCTTCGTTGGTGCCGACACGCGACGCGGACAGGCCTCGGCCTAAGCAGCGCCGCGCAGGGGCCTACGGAGGCGCCGCGCGCCGGCTCCCCCACACCCCCACGATCACAAACCTCCCTTCCCTCCCCTCCCTTCCACAACAAGCAGCGGAGATACAAACCGACGAACTGAGCGAAACCCAACGTCCGGCACGCAACAACAACAACAAAATAAGACGAGCGAGCGAGCGAGTTACGCACAGGGCGGCACGCGACGCAGAGCACGCTGTGTGGCCGCGTCGCATCCACCACGTTGCTGGCCGCGCCGCCTCCGTCTCTGCCGCCATGAGCCGCCGGTTCCGCACGGTGGAGTCTCCTCCTCCTCCCTCCCTCCTCCTCCTCTCTTCTCCTTCTCTCTCTCCTCCTTCTCCTCTCTCTCCTCCTTCTCTCTCCTCCTCCTCCTCTCCACCACCACCACCAACACGGCCCGCGTCCAAAAGTGCCGGCCCACGATGGATGTAGCCCTCCCCCCCCACCCCCAACGGACTGGGGAATGAGAAACTTGGCGGTTGTTTGGGTGGAGGGAGCAGAAGGGAGATGGGGTGGGGGATGAAAAATCAACAACTTCGTTGTTGTTGTTGATGATTGTGGCGGTGGGGGTGGTTGTTGTATAATTTTAGAGGTGGTTGGGGAGGTGGTGACGTCACGCGCGGCGAGGAAACTCCCTCGGCCCCGCCCCTCGGCTCCGCCGCCCAGCCCCGCCCCCCCCCCGCCGCTGGTGACGCCGCCACGTGGCGCCCACATTCAAAAGCCGAGGGCCGGATCCACACCCCATTCATTCATTTCAAGTTTACGTGTTTTTTGTTGTTGTTGTTGTACAGTGTAATCTTCCCTCGTCGTCGCTTGAAGTAATTCCAAGCTCCTTTTTGGGACCCATGCGCTTAACCTGCAATAATGCGAGTTTATCACCGATGAAGCCTCGGAGAGCCGAATGGAAGTTCAGAAGAACTCACAAACACATACCTTGGGAAAGAAGGGCCCAACGCAGAAGATCCCCTGGGTTTGGATCTTCCACGAAGCTCATGGTCCACCCTAAATCGCATCCACACAAACCATGGCAGATGCGGATACCTGATGCACAAATGAAAAAAAATGAAAAACTGTCCAGTGTACGACTGTGGTCATCCACAACATACCGTACAACATATGCCCGATCCACAACTACGAAGGTGATATCACAGCGAGGATGCAATCCGCTGCTCCTGACGCGATTATCTGACTTGACCACCTGAATGTGAAATTGTAGTTGTTCCTCTGCATCTACATCAGCCATACTAAAGAAAACGATTCAGTGTTCTGCACTCATTTTCAGTGTGAGCGCTTCCACACATGTGAAACCATTGGGGTGTTTGACAGCATCACGATGATGATGGGGTGGTGTTTTCACTCGCTGTGTGTTGGAGGCCGCACTAGATGCCACTAGGGGACGCCAGTGGCCTGGGGCCTTGCAATGAACAACTCTGCATTCATTAATTTAAGTTTACGTACCCGTTTAAGGCAGTTTCCCAGCTACAAGGGAAATCCGTGGTGCGTGAGCACAGCAACACAAAAAAAACCTTCAATACTGCAGAGAACGAATGCAAGTATCCTTATGGAATATGACACAACTACCAAACGAGATATGTAACGGCAACACGTGCAAACTGCCAGGGACTTTGCCACATTTTCTTTCCAAGGACAACCAGCTGAGTCCATCGTCAACCACGACCTCGACAATATCAAGTCGCGATCGCACTGTCACCATCATCTGGGAATCTCATCCAGGCTCGGACAGTCGCTCCTGTTGCGAACGGTGGAATAACGCGGACGTTCAAGAATGATAATACCCCTTATTCGAGATCCAAACGTGGCACACCTCCTTGGCTTTGACATATCTCCTCGAAGACATCGGTGTGACCACCAACCACATCAGATTATCATCAGGAAGCCGATGTGCACATCACCTTCATGAATAGAAACTCAGAGACACACAAGCCACAGTAGCCCTGTGTCCATAAATCCATAGCGATACATGTAGATACATAGACACTCAGAGATCCATAGAAAAAGCATTAACGACCAGCCACAGTAGTGCGATTGTAGTCATGAAACCCAAACTATGGACCAGTTAGTAAACCCATAGACACATAGACTCATAGAGACACGTAAAGTTCCGTATAGATACATTGAAGACAAGCCACAGTCGTGCGATTGTGGCCATGCAACCCAAAACGATGGGCCATATTGTAAAACTACACAACTCTCCTGAAGTCCTCTTGTGGCTGGCAAACCCCGACGTTGGCATTTATTGCCATACGCAAGAGTATAACAAACATACAGGTACACAATTCTCCGTGTGTGAGCCCCTCCTGCTAAATTATTATCGAGTCAAAATGTTCGCATAACATAGCATAATTATGTCATGTGTTTGGCCAGGGCTGTCCATGAGGTGGGGGGGGGGGGGTCTGCGGGGCCCGGTGTGAATCCCACTGTGTGTGCCCCCCGACGCCTTCAAAATAAACTATTACATCTGACAACGTGACGTGGAAGCGCTGGGCCCCCCAAAGCGTGGGGCCCGGGGCAGTCGCCCCGATTCGCCGCACCCTAGGGACGCGGCTCTGGCTGTGGCAGCCTTTGCTCATTTTACACATGGGGTGAAGAGATCGCCACAGATGAATGCACGGCAGCAGCAGAGTGGTGTGTGTACCACGCTATGAGTTACTCAGTTTGTTGGGCGTTGTGTAATGTTTAACGTTTGGTCAACATTAAATGTTTCCACCAGGGGGCGAAAATTTACATAACGTACAACTCCATTGTAAAAAAAAAACACAAACGCCCAAGGACGCAAGACAACAACCGTATGCTTGCATAATACACATTTTTCGGGACAGGCTGCACGGTTTGCTGTTTTCAACATTGTTATTATTCTAGTAGAGAGTGATGGACGCATTGAGCATGGTACCTATCGTAATTTGGAATTCGAATTTAACCGTGGGCTTTTGCGACCAATGTTATGATTCATAATTTTTTTCTGGGTTAATTCGTGTGAATACAATGCCAGCGTGTAGTACTCCCTCCTCCACCCGAGACAGTTGTATGTTTAAGAGCAATCCACAACATTTAACAATTAGGCCCGACGTTTTGCCGGTAATTGCATCCCTCATCATCAGGCGATTGCCAGAGTTGTACCCGCTGGTGGCAAAGCTTTGTAGATTTTTTTTTTAAATATAGTTATCTTGGTTCCCGTGTGCATAATCGTCATGCTTCCCCCATTCATATATTCGGAAGTTGTACCGTGTTCCAGCTATGGCACTACAACGTTGTCAAAAAACTTCGTGGTACGGTTTTATTGTCACGTGCTTGTGATTTTGTTTTGGGTGACGTCTTTAGACTGCGGTGACTAAAGTTGTCTCCAGTTGGAAGTAGGAGTTAGAGAAAGTTGATCCGAATTTGACCAAAACATTAGCACGTTTTAATAATTTTTGTAAACATGAAAATATCGTGGGGTGGTGGAGGTTTAATGAAATGATTGAGGCATAAAACGATCACGTGGCTTATCCCAAAAACAAATATGAATACAATAACATACAAATAACATATCTCCTCATTCACGCATCATAATACATGTCTTTAAAAATGTTTGTCTTGGTCTTGTGTAGGAGACAAGAAGACCATGTTTACTCAGAATAAACAAAGCTTATTCCAGCTAAAAACAAACTGTATAAGGATAAGTATGTTTTCTTTAAGTATAGCATTTTCCTACTTGTAATTGGAAATCGAGTGACAATTTGAGAATTTCACATTCCAATTGAGAATTTCAAATTACAATGGTAGCAAAACATTTATGCGAAGAACAGCTGTTGCCTTTTCACAAAGTGTCATGCATTTTTATTGAACCCAGAGGGTAATACCCCTGACGAGTTAAATCCTTATTTCGTTTAAAGTAGACTAATCGTTGTGTAAAAAATGCAACAAGCATGCACATTTCTTCTGCTTGCATTTGACACAGTGAATAGCAACTTTAAGATCTGTATCCAAGTTTCAGAGCCACGTGACGGTTTCAGGTGAGAGTGAATTAATTGTTATTGTCTCCATTGCATTTACAATATGGACAATTATTTCATAACGATTTGGTAAAGGTCTCCGTTTCCTTTGACATTCTGCCACTTATGAATGTGTAGTGGGTTCCCAGGACACGGCAGAGTAGAGGCAGCACTATTTATTGAACAAGGGATCACACTGGAAGGGGTAGCGGCCCCTTCACCCGTATACACTCAGGGATAACCCCAGGCTATCTAGCCTAAGCCCTAGGCTACCGATTCCTCCGACTATAGGCGCTAGAAAAGGCTATCTGATCTGGCCCTGGTCAGACACAGATCTCGGCACCCCACCAACCAGACCGGCCCTTAAAAGGACTCCGGCTCTGGGGCTCTGGGGCCGCACCACTGGCTTGCCGTGCCGGCCCTGAAAAGGACAGCGGTCACAGGAGTCCCAGGGTCTATCCTACCCGGCCTTCCTTCTTCACTGGCTTTTCATTCTTGGCCCCAACACACTGCCCCGAGCTCTCTGGCTCCCCGCCCTTTATACCCATACCCCACTGAGGGTGGAGCCATAGCGGACGTGGTTGTAGCCACCAAGGTGTGGTTGTGCCTCACCTTCCCACACCGTGTGTTTCTTCCCCATTGCACCCCTACAAATGTGGTGACCTTAATCTGGACACGGGTCGTGCAGATTCGATTGAGTGTGCTTCTTGTTTTCAGGGAAGGTCGGAACCAGGTTATTCGGCATGCATACTAATCAGAAACCCTCAGTCTACACCATATGAGAGCTAATGTAGACAAGCCTCTATAGGGAGGGAGACCAAGGGTAAACATTGAAGGGGAGTGGGCAGGAGAGTTTGGGTAAACAAAAAATAAGCAGCGGCCTATTGTTCACAGCCGATAGAAACTTTTGTCAAGTACGATCCAAATAGTGCTTATCCAAAGCAACATAAATATCTGACTTTTTAACACCATCAGCACACACCTGATGCTGGATATTGATGTTGAATCCATTCAAGTATAGAGGAAGAGGTGCATTTTTCACACTGCAATTGATCCACTGAGCATCATTTCTGCCTTTATGGACTGCACGTATCAGATCATTCACATGTGAAGAATATAATTATTGATGATTATTTTACCGGGTTTAGCAATTAAACATTAAATGTTCAAAGGTTCCCCTAATCTTTAGAGAGGCATAGTCCAATTATGTGCCTGTGCTTTAGTCCAAGCATGAACTATAATTAACTAATGCTATGCCACCTTTAGTTAAATGGAGTCTTTCCTAATGACAGTAAATACTTTTTAGTATCAAAGATTGATTCTAAACATTAAGATATACAGCTGTACTTCTAAATTGATCAAAGCATCTCAGGATAATTATTTTCAGTACTTTCGAAAATTAAAACCCATCCCATCAAGGATGCATACGTTTCACGTGTACTGTATTCTATAAACGATTAAACTCCAGTGACAATTCAATTTAAGTTGTTTTCATTTGCATGCCCAGTTCGTTTCCCCCACCAGCGAATGCTTACGATGTATATTGCTGGAAAGTATAATTTTATAGTGTTGAAAATAGGTATGCTGATGCAGACTATTACACGTCTGT